ACGCCCCGACAGGTGTGATTAGTTGGAAGGGGAGACTGAATGCATCCACTTCTTGAGTCGCGGTGTATTGTTATACAACGTAATGTAATTTAATCTGATCAAATTGAAACAAAGGCCTTAATTATAGTTAATCAATCACCACTTTGACAAAAGGCAAATGAAACTTAAAACGATTCGGAATTTGACGCAGATCAAGAAACCAATTTTCTTATCCCAGATCATTACATATTGTTATGCTATACAAACATTGCATTGAAAAAGTTCTTTATGGACAAAATTTATTTTCTCCAATTGCAAAACTTTTCTATTATCATGTAGTAAAATTCAAAGTTACTGTAATTTGATGTACATACAATGCAAATATATTTTATTATAATATGTACTACATAACCGTAATCACACAGAAACATATGTTATATTTTAGAATATTAAAACATATATTTTAATACATGTAAATATATAAATACTATATAGATGTATTTGAAAGTTAAAATAAAACAGGACTAAGACAAATAATAGAAAAATTTTCTTTCAATTAATTTGATGTTTGTAAACAACAACAAAAAAATACAATTTACAATTAACAAACAATAATGAAAAAACACACAAAATTAATAATGTGCGATAACGAATGAATTTGTTATTACGCCCGATTTGCCAAAAGGATTCAAAAATATGTAAATTCTAAAGCAAAACACAGTAGAATTTCATTTAATAAAACTACCAAGTAAATTCTTCACAAAAATTTACTTGAAGATTCTAAAATAGAATTTTTGAAAAAAAAAATTTTGAAAATTCTTGAAATAGTATCCAATTTTCTCTATCAAAAAGCGTTTATCTTCTCAACAGTTCTCCACATTCCGGGCAGTTCAGCGCAAAACACCCAAATAATAGCTCTTTCATTTCAAGCCTTGTATATTAGCTGAAACGTTGATGTCATCAAAATTAAATTTCCATTCAACAAAAAAAGCTAAAAGACAAAAATATATTTAATTAAGTTTAATATAACCGAAATTTTACTGCATTCTGATACAAAATTAAAAATGGAAACGAAACCCGTATAATTCATCTAGAAACAATACTTTTTTTCTTAATTAACATGAAGAAAAAGGACTCAAGTGCATATACAAGTTGTTCAACATTTTTCTTGTTGTTTTTTTTTCTTTTATTTTTAAACCGTTATAAAAATAAATATAATATACATGTACAAGTAAAATTTATCCTTTCAAGTATGTGTAATTTCTTATTATAAAGTTATGGAAAATTCCTTGAGCTACTATATGTAAATCCTTTAGTATAAGCATTCAGAATACAGAAAAAAGTATATAATATTATATATATAGAAGTATATACATGATTTATGTTAGATATACTCGTACAAATAAACATGTCAGTCCCAATAAGTCTGAAGAGGTTGAAGAAGAGCGCTCATTTTCAACAACAAAATAAATAAAAAGAAATTATCTTATTAGAAATTCATTAAGAGATTCTCAAGTTTTAGACATAAGGATTTTCTTTTCGTATATTTTTTTTTCCTTACGCCCAAAAAAACATTTTATACCTATACATAATAATGTTCACCAATACATGCATATTATGTTTGTATATAAAATATGAGAATATCCTTTTATACAAATTATAACAAGAAAATGTCAAGAATAAAATTAATTTAACTAAAAAAACTATTCGTTATAAAAGATTCTTATTTATTCTCTATATATAGTGTTAAATTATATATATATATATATATATATATAAGGACAAACTACTTGTGCATGTCATATTTAAATAATAGTTTATACACTTTTAAGATAATAATAAAAATAATCTAGGTATAATAGAAGTAGAATTAATTTTAAAATTAAGATGAAAATTTATTTTGTAAAATTTTCTTCAACACTAACTTATTTACATTATTAATTTGTACGTCTTATGTGATTTCGAAAATATCTTTTCTTTGTTAGCCTATATAATTATGAGAGTATTTAAAACAAAATTATAAGAGCGTAATCTATTGAAACTTTTATACCAATAATAGTTATTATTGATGAAATGAATGTTTATTACTTTATATAAGAAGATCAACTTAGTTCTGAAATTTTGAGCCGTGCATAACACATATTTTAAAAATAAAGAAGTTAATATTCAAAATTTATATCGGGAAGAATGTAGTACTACTTTATTAAGCATAATTATAAATTACTTAAAATACCAGATAGAAACGCCTATTCATATTTTAATAATAGTGGTTTAGAATAGATTATTTGCTTTAAAACGATTGATATTCTTATTATTCTCAATTTGGCTTAAAATTTGAGGAGGGGCAATATGACAATAACTATATTAATATAGTATACTAGAAGCCAATACCGCGGTCCGCCCTAAATTCAAATATTTTTGTAAAAATTTTGAAACAAAATTAAGCCATGATTTTTGTTTCATTTCATTGCATTTGTTTTGAAATGATCTTCAATTTTACATCACAAAATATAAAAATCTTGGAATTCTGTACGTCTTATGTACACCTTATATACCGATTATTGGGTTTACTTTTGCAATACATAACTTTTTTGGAATGTGGGCCGTTTTGCAATTCGTTCTAGTTTCAACAGTTTCGAAGCTATATAATTGATATTCGTGGGACAGAATTTTTTCAATTCGATATTTTTACCAAAAATTTTTTCTGCCAAAATTTTTTAAAAATAAATTTCCCGTCTATAAAAATTACTAAACCATATTGTTTAAACTTTTTCACAATACCTTGTTTTTAGTGTTAAATTAACTTTGTTGTTGTGTTTTTAAAAAAAAAAAAAAACCTTAAGGTAATTTTCTGTGTTTCTCATTTTTTTTTTTTTTCAAATTTAGTTTCCCTTCTACTTTAGTTTTCTTTCATACCCATAAAAATAACTATACATATTATGTAGTTAAGTGAGACTTCTATTATATAGAATAGTGCAAGTTAAAAAACAAAATAATTGAATTTTGTATAAAATTAATTGTTATTTATTTCGTTTTCGTTCCATCTACTCATGTCTCATTTTTGCACCCTGAAAGCAAAATGAAAAAAAAATAAGAAAGATTTCGTTTTCTAACTGTACTATAAGCAATTTAAACAAATCATATAATATGCATATACACATCCATCTACACAACATATTTGATATATTTTTCTAACTCTTGTGTTCCATACAGAATTTTTGTATATTTAATCCTTGTATTCTGTTACGAGTATAATGTTAGAAAATGAAAGAAAATTTAGAAACGGAATAATAAAATAGTTCGTACATAGTATTCAGGCATACTAGTATTATACATAAAACAAAAATTTATATATATATATATATAGATGTGTATGTGTATTTGTTAATATGAATATAATATGAATTGTATGTGTATAATTAAAATACTTGAGATTGTTTCATCATAACAATTAAATTCAATTGTGATGAAAATTAAAATTAAAAAAAAAAAAAATTATTTTTTTTTTACTTTTAATTTTTCTTCTTTTTATTATTATATTTTTTATTGTATTCATTGTTTTAAGTTTTAAATTAAATCTTAAATTGAATTGTTCTTTTATTAAAAAGAAAATTATAAATAAATAAATTGAAAATTGTGTGTAAAAATGCACTTATGCATATAAATATAAAAAAAAAACAACAACAAAAAAATTGAATATTCATACATAAACACAGTCATATATGATATAAACAGTACAATATAATTCAATCTGGAGCAATATAAATATTAGATTCCGTCTTGAAGCGTATGCCATTTAAAATATTTCTATCCAAGATGACAGACTTATTCTTCATTCACAATGTGATCTCCTTTTCCTAACAGTTAAATAACATTATATATAAATTATTGGTGTTTAACAAAATTACTTGAAGAATGAATCAAAATCTTTAAAAAATTGAACTTAACTGAAGAACTTGATGACACCATTTCTAAATATATCCCTTTTCATATGAATGTTCCGAAAAACCATAATGAGTTCTGTTCGATTCCAAATATAAGAAATGATGAGCTCGTACATTATGTACTGCCGCATAAATATTATTATACAAATGTTTTTTGCAGATAAAATATCATAAGAAAGCATAACTGATGCTACATTACGGCTAGATTCTAAATTCCATACCCGATTACGGCTACATTCTAACCAGTAGTATTCCTTTGTCAATTAAATTTACGCAAAAAAAATTTGACATTTTTTTGCATCGATTCAATATGACCATATTTTTTTGCACCGATTCAATATACTTAATATTAATATCGTACGATGGCATCCATATAGGAATGGCATATTCAAGATGTGGACGAACTAGTAACTTGCATTGATGAATAAATCATGCGTGGTAAACAAAACTTATTTTTAGAGTTTTAGAGCTAGAGATAGGTGCCTATATCTCTTTTAAAACTAAATTTGCAAATTTTATTGCATTTCATTATAAATTATTTTGAATAACACTTGAATTGCATTTATAGCTTCTAGATTAGAAAATCTCTTTTTGATTTATATCGCTACTGTATATAAAAAATCGAAATTCAAAAAGAACAATTCTTTATCATTCAATTAAATGAATTAAATGTCAATTTAAAAATTTTCATGTCATAATTTCATGGTGACAAAATGATATTTTCTTTAATTTTTATACGTGTGTTTTTTTGTTTTTTTGTTTCTTAAAATTTTAATTGAAGGTTTTATTGATTTAAAAAAAAAAATTTAAGTATTTTTGTTTTGATAGAAATTAATTAAATTTTAATAAGATCAAATTGAATAAATTTTTCAATAAAAACAATTACCAATGTAATTCGAGTTTTTTTTTTTTTTTTTGCATTTTATGATGCTCTAATAAATTTTCTTCAAAATCAAAATTTATAAATATTGCATAACGCATAGGCGAAATATTTCTCTAATAAATATGTAATTTTAAAATTTCTAATTAAAATTTAAATTTTATATTAATTAATTATTTCATATTATTTTGTTTTAGCAATGGAGGTTTTCGACCTGTTTTGGATAATAATTCACAAAGAACAAATCCACCATTATTTTTACCACCGCATTTGGCCTCATTAAGTCAACAATTTTCTCAGCCATTATTTCCAGGTCTTAAAGGTAATTTTTACTTCAATATATAATTGTGTGTTTATCATAGATTCAATTGAATAAAAATTTAATTTTAATTACATTATTCAACAAAATAATAATGTATGTATAATAACAAGAAACTATTGGAAGGATGTTTTTAAGCAAGGTCTTTCACCAGTAATTTAACAAAAATACATTAATGTATTTTGATATAAAAAAAATAACAGGTTTCGCCAATCGCTTATCTACTACATAGTTACGTATAAACTTTTATGTAAAAACTAAACTGTTATATAAATTCAAAAACAAATTTTGTCCTTTTTTACCAAAACATCAATTTTAAATCTTCAACAAATATTCAATGAACATGTTCTTATTTATACTCGTATATATATGTATATATGCATAGTAAAATATGCTAAATTTTAAATATATATAAAATATAGATAACGCTGTAATACCCACTTATCACTTTAATATTATTTTAACACAGATTGTTATAAATTTTATAAATACAAATTTATTCTTATACCATATATTACAATTACTCGTACAGAATAAAATATGAATTCTTGGTCGCAAAGAGGATAAATAATCAAAGAAAATTTATAAAATGTTATATGAATTATTTAATAATTTTAAAATGTACCATTAGAATTAGTTTATCCACAAATATACATTTAACAACTGCATATACATATTTAAAAACTTACTGTACTTAAATTATAGAGAGAGGAACCATAGCAGTATTGTAAAACATAATTTCATATAAAGTCTATACTCGTATGTATATAAGTAATAATTTTTTCGACATCTCCTTCATATTTTTGATTCTAAAATTGAATAAATTTAAATATTTGAAAATAATTCAGTTTTTTTTTTCCTCTAACACTGGCCATTACAGCGGGCATGTAGAACGCATATCTAAACACTAAAATCCATAAAAAATAAAATGAAATTTAAAGAAAGAAAAAAAAAAACAGGGAAAATTTTATAGTTAAGCCAGATCAACAATAGGATGTACGGTGGAAATTATGCAAATAATATGGTCACCTAATATTTTATTATATAATCAAGCCTTTTCCTTTACAGTGAAATGCTGTAAATAGTTTCGGAGTCAAACGTAATAATGACATAAAAAATTTGATGTATTTCCCCTAAAAGTATGCAATTATAGCATTTTACTTTATTTTGGAACAAATGTACTTAAATTTTCTTCGATTTCCCGAACAAAATTTACGTTTTAACATTAAGAATGAAAATATAGGTATATTAGAGAAAAAAATTCAATTAATAAACACTCAGTATTACAAATCAAACGACAAATTCACAATACCCTATAAAAACACAAAATTGTTACCGCGAAAAAACTCTCTCTCTCTCCTTTTTTAATATATTTGTAAATGTGTATATGTATAAGAAGGATAAACGGAAAAATAAAAAATGATACAAAAATTTTTTTATACAAAATTCAATTCCCAAAAGTGGCTTTTCCATAAAAAGAAAAAAACCAAAGAAGCTTTTAGTCAGATTAGAGATTATTAAATTTTGTCCTTCGTTTATTATTTCGTTTTTACTTGCGATTTTCTTCTTGTTTTTTCACATTTTTCCCCAAAAAATTTCTTAAATTTTAGCTTACATGGCACAAAGTGTGTATATATGCACTAATATATATGGTAGTAGGAAACAAGGACGCTGAGACTATATCACCAGGTTATTTAACACGCGTCATAATGATTTCACATGGTACAAAAATTTTTTTTTATTCACAGAAAACAAAAGTGTAGATGGTGTTTGTTTCCTTCTTTTTTATTTTAATATCCATTCATTGAAAAATTAAAAAGTTTTTAAAATTTTAAAATATGAAATTTTTTTTTTGATATATCGTATATGTTCCTAACTTGTATATAATATAATAAAATTTGAGTATGTACCGTAGAATACACGCAATATAAAGCATACTCGTAGATATAGATAAACATACTCGACTGGCTGTTGTGCTCTCCAATATTTAAAAGGAAGAAAAAACAAAACCTGAAATAAATATTTTCTCAGGTCACAGGTGTTCTATACGAATCATATTGTGATTTTTACCTTGATAAAATTTAATATAATTTTATTTAATATTCAAGAGTTTTATTTAATATTCAAGAGGGATGAAGAGTAAAAACAAAAAAAAAAAACACCAACAAGATATTGTCCTTACAACAATTTAATAAAGATTTATGTCAAACATTATCGACACTCAACTGGATTATATAAAGAAATTAGCATAATATATTAAAATTTTACTTCTCTTTTCTATACAATGCGAGTAAATAAGAAAATTACATTAAAATTGATTTATTATAGATGATTATAAAATGTTGAATAATGGGAATTTTTTAAATTAAATATTCATGAAATTTATTTTGTAGCCACATTGTAAATTTAAAATTTATTATTGAAAATTTGATAATTCATAATTTTTAATTCTATGATTTCTATACATTTATTATTTTTATTATAAAAATATTATAGCATTTCCTGGTTTATGTTCATGCTGCCCAATAAAACCACCAACAACATCAGTTACATCAACATCACAAGGATCACCACCATCATCAAATCATCCGGATCCACGTTCAAGTTCTGTAGCTGAATTAAGACGTAAAGCACAAGAGCATTCAGCTGCATTATTACAATCATTACATGCAGTTGCTGCTGCTGGTTTACCATTTCCTGGTTTACATTTACCACCATTATCATTACATCATGCTTTAAATAATAATAACAATAGTAATAACAGTAATAATAACAATAATAATAACAATAATAATAATAATAATATTAATCATAACAGTAATAGTAACAATAATAATAATAACAATTTAATTAATAATAATAATTTAAATAATACAAATCTTAATCATCACCATCATCATCATCATCATAATCAACATAATAATAATTTAATAATTGATCGAAAATCTGAAGCACAAGATATGACAACATCAACAATGAATGGTATTACAACATCAACTGGTAATAATAATAACAATAATAATAATATAACAACAAACAATTTATTAAATTCAAATAGTAATGGTAATTCATCAAATAATGGTACACCAACAAATGGTCAATCACCAGATCTTAAACAAAATGGTATTATTGAAAAAATTTCAAATTCATCAGATTAGTTTTATTTTTCTATATTGTAATTTAAAAACATAAAAAAAAAATTTAAGAAATAATTTTAAAAATAAATAAATAGTATTGCTATGCACATATACTCGTATAAATAGTATATAGAAAACATTATATAATATATTATTCAAATTATAAAATATAAATTTTAAATTTAAGTATTTTAATTATTAAAATAATAAAAAATATATATTTATCAAGAAAATTTAATAGTAAAGCAAGAAATTATATTCTAAACTTTTTGAATAACGTAAAATCGAACAGAAGAAATAAATTTTAAACTCTTTCATTTTATAATATTTTAATAAATTTCCATTTCCATTTAATAATATAGCTCTATCACTGGAACTCTATTTAGTTAGACCAGTAACTGTGGCACATATTGAATAAAATTTCTATTCAGACATCGAACTATTAAAAATAATTTTATAATTTTTGAAAACACAATTTCGGTACTTTTTTAATGCAAATCACAAAATTTTACTGTAGGCAAAACTTCATCCTCTCAAATGCGGGTGCAAAAATTTAAAACAAAAATCACAACATTATTTTTTTTTATTTTAGTATTGAAATACCAAAAGAATTCTGAATCACTTAATATTATTTAATCAAATGTACTCGAACTTATTTTTTAATTATAATACTTTTGATATTTATCTTAATTTTAAACCATAAATTTAAAATTATATTAACTATGTCCAATATTCACCATTTCTTTAAGAATAAATTGAACAAAATCGGGATATTATGACAATATTAAAATTATTCATATATGTTATAAATCGATTATCCATACATCCCTTATATTGAAAAATTTTATTTAATTTGTGTTTTTCTAAGATGGCCGAATAATATACTTAGTCTATTTATCTAACTCTTGTTGGTATTATAAACTGAGATTTCTTTTATTTATTTTAAAGAAATTTTAGAAAAATATAAAGTTAAAATTTGGCCAAATTATGCTCATAAAATTAGAAAATTCTTATATATTTTGTTTTTATTCTTTTAATTTTAGGTAATTCAAAAAATTTTCATAATATTTTAATAAAAAAAAAAAGAAATGAAGCAATCAAAATTATAAATAAAAAAAATAACAGCAATAAATCTTAAATAAATTGAAAAAAAAAAAATTTGTAAATTATTAATAATATAAGGTATATATGATTAAAATTATATACATATATATATATATATAGGAAATATATAATTCAATTAAATAATTTAATATAAGGTTTTAAATAAGAATGAATTATTTCAAATAAATATTTAAAAAAATGATCATATATATATATATATATATATAAAATTAAGTTAATTTTAATAGAATATTAAACGAATTAATATTACAATAAGAAATTTTATTCTAAATGTACATATATATATATATACAATTACACATATATACTTACTTGCATATGAGTTTCGAATCAAAATTTTCTTTAAAATTAATTTTTCTGTTTTCAATTTAATTTTAATATTTTCTTTCTTAAAATTCACATTTTATATTAAGTAGATATTGGATTGTGTATTGTACTTTATATTATTGCGTATTTATAATAAAAAGAACCAATTATTTCCGAATGTCCACCAGTAACTAAAATACAATATTTTCAATCAGTTTTTAATCACCACAATATAAGTATTTACATAAAATTAATTCTCTCTCATCATAATACTCAAATATTTCAAAATATAATTTGAGAATATTTTTTTCATTCTCAATTTTTCTTCAAAATCACAATTCTAATTCACAATAATTTTAGAAATTCCTTTTTTAATAAATTAACAATATTTTAAAATTAAATTCTACCAAATCACGATATTCATTCGTGCTCTAATTTATTATTTTCCTTGTTATTTATAAATTTTTTAATTCTAAATTATTCTAAATATTTTCTTATAGTTAATTATTTTCACTTCATTGCACATTCATTCTTTGTAAATTATTTGCTCTATTTTAAATATGAAATTTAGTTAGAATAAATTAATAATAATATTAATAATATTTAATTGAATTAAATTATTACATTACTAAATTATTTAAATTTAAAAGTAAATAGATAATAATTATATTAAAAAACAAAGGAAAAAAAAAACAAAAATTTTGATCTTTAAATATTAAGTTTTCAAATTTAATTATAATAAATATAAAAAAAAAAATAATAAATTAAAAAGATTATTAAAATATTTATCAATTTCCATAAATGTATAATATTAAAAATATTTTTAATTTTAATTTTTAATGTAAAACAAAAAATAAGAAAAAAAATATTAACCACAATATTTGAATCATTTTGAATATAGAAAACAACAAAAAAAAATATTATATAAAATAAAATCTAAGATTTTTGCATCTTAAAAATATTACAACTGAAAAGAAATTATAATAAAAGAAAAAAAACAACAATAAAACGCAAGGAAAAAATAATAATAAACGAAAATAATTTTTAAATTTAATTCAATCTTATATATTATTATATAATAATTATTTATTAAGTGAAAATTAAACATATATATAGCTATGTGTATATATAATAAATATATTTATGCATATAAATATCATATATATACATATACATAAAATGATTTATATCATACGATATTGTGCCATCAATAAAAAAAAATTATTATTAAAATTAATATAATTATTATTATTATATAAAATATAATTATTAAATTAGAGAGTATGAAAATAAAATAATTATTAAAGAAAAAATAATATTTGATAATTTATTTTTATTGCAGTTTTTTTTATTTTATTCATAGAGAAATTTTAAAGCAACATAATAATGGTGTAAGAATTCTAAAAGCAGCTTAACTTGAAAATATTGTTTTCATGAATAAAATAAAAACACAGTAAATGCAATTGTACTAAGAATAGACTTGGTTGACGTGACTGGTACAGTAGATCCACCGCACCCCAATTAGTATAAATGTGAAGTTTTGCTATATACCACTTATCTAAAACACCCGGTTCTCTTTCTTAAGATAAATAATAATCTATCTAAGTTCCCGCCACAATTGCTTTGAAATTGGATTCAGTTTTCGGATTACAAGTGATAAATGTAGAACATTGAATAAATATACTATAAAATGGGAATAACTTAAAAGCCTTATATACGAACATAAATTTACAAAAATTCGAGTTATATATTACTTATCTTTAGTTTTAGATACATGTATACTTGCAAAAGTATGTTTAAATCAAAATTGTTATATTTATGTACAATATTCTAAATACAAATACTCTCAGAATATGTAAAGCAATTAAAGAATTAATTAATTTTGATATTATAACTCAATACATTTAAAATTACGTTATTATTCATTTCATATATTTAATTGATTTCACAAAAGCAAGGTCATTACGCCTTCTTAATATATTCATATACAACAATTACGTTTTATCAATATATATATATGTATATATTGATATATATATTGATATATATATATATATATATATAGAGATATATATATATATATCAATATATCAATATATATATATATATATATATAAATACTTTTTATCATAAACTATAATTTAAAAACAAAATTTTAAATTGAATTTGAAAGCCTATAGCTTATTGCATTTTGATCACAAGTTTTTTCACAAATTTCTTTTGATGGGAAACGATTACGATTTCCATTACATCCACCATAAGCAAACTCTTCACAAGTTCCACTGCCTTTATTATAATAATATGATGGCATATAATAAAAGACACAATTACCTTCTTCTTTTGGTAAATTGCAATATTCTAAAAAATATAAAATAATTTTCAAATATAGCCCCTAGCTAATAAAAATCAAAAAAAAAAATATTTTACATATTCTTATAACAAAAAATTACCTTCACGCCATTGCTGTAATTCTTCAGTTCTAGGTGTAAATCCAGATATTTCATTTGTATTTATTTCATTAATACAATTTAATATAATTGTAAAAATTATTATTTTATTAATAATTTCCATTTTAACAAAAATTATATTTTATATTCTAAAATGTACAAAATATTAATAATCTACTTGATAACTAGAAATATTCAATTGTAATGATAACAATTTTATTTGATGTATACAAACCCGAAATATACATATATAATAATTATATAATTATGTGTGTATGTACATTTAGTATAGTAGAATACTAAAAAGCATCTAGTAATGAAATGAGATAACTAAAAGTGTTCTTCTTTATAATGAATTTTAAAATCTAAAAAGAAAAACAAAAATAATTACATTAATTCTATTCAATCTCTTTATTACGATAACATTGTCTTTTCATATATGTGTTATCCTAAAAGTATGCAAAATTTCTTATATTAATAATTACTTTAATAAAAACCAACTTGAATTTGTTACTATTAATAAAAGCTATGCTAGTAAAATTCAACAACCAACACAATCAACAATATTATAAACTTTAAGCGTTATTCCATTTGAAATTAATCAATTATAACATTCAGAAGGTATTAGCACATATTACTTACAACTTACTATTTTAAATAAGAAGGGAAACTAAAGAGAGAAGTGATTTTATTAGGAAAGTATAAGTATATATAAGTAATTCAAACTAGATATTTCAGCCAAAAATTATTATCCAGAATACAGTGTTTTTGTTTCAATGGAAAATTTAACTAAAATAAGAATACGATATTGTCATAGATTTACGATAATCCCACTATTGTTGTAATATTACTATAATTATAGGATTTAAAGAATTTTAAAAAGTAAAACTTAATTTAATCTTAATATTAGCCGAATTTTTTCAATTTTGTTAGATCTACCGAACATAAAACACTTGTAAGCCAATGCAATTTTGAATTCCTACGAAAAAATATTAATAAATTTATTCTATCGTATTGAAATCATTTTGCATTTCATCTAAATCTTGAAAAGTTTTAATGCATTCAACAAATTTTGTCAAAGAAAAATTTTAAAAATTAAAAAGCACTTAAGAATTTTTATAAACAAATTTAACAATTAGATACAACGCCAACTAACTATACGTATACCTTAATTTAACTTGTTAATTTTTTGTTAATTTTTATTACTTAATTACCCCATTTGCTATAATATTTTCTACTTTAATTAACTACATATGTAATCTTAAAATTCTATTTAAAAAAAACAAATACAAATCTTATATTTCATACCTTTTTACATCATTAATAAAATTTTCTCTCACTATTGTCTCTCTTTTTAGAAAATAAAATAGAAAACAAAATATTAGTGTCAAATTATGTAATTTAAAACGTACAATTAAATAATTTTTACAATAGATCTTATAATTGAAATTATTCATATTTAACACATTTATAATGCAAAAACAGGGAAAAAAAAACAAAATAGTACAAAACACTTCATTTTTATTTTCATTTTAATGATTTCATAAATTTCGCACTCTTTCGTGACCTTCCCCCATATATAAGTGTATAAATGACACTTTTCATTTCACGTATAATTTCTGAATTATTGAAATATTAAGACAATAGAAATAATTTAAACCAGAAAATCAATTGTCCAATCAACTTTAAGATACGTGAACTTTAAATATATTAAAGGTATTAATTTTTTCCTTACCATTCATACGCTTCAGCAGACGAAATTTGATTCGTTGTTTTATTTTAAAATTTTGTTCATCGATGAGGTTCAGTTTTGAGTTAAACAAGATTTTTAATAAGTAAATTTGCCAAATGTGGAGTGATAATAATTTAAAAATTACCCTGTAGCTTTGATAATATCCAGAAAAGTTAACTGTTTCATGCAGTTGGCTGCGATTTGAACGCCGGCATATTATTTATCTATCGATTCCGGGTTATTTTTCGAGAAATAATGTTAAATTCTACAGTAGGTTCAGGAAAATCTATGCTATGATTATTTATTTGATTATTCCGGAAGGCGTGCATAAACCGTTTCAATTCCTTTAGGCTTGAGAGGTTTCACAGATTTATTCCGCCCTATTATTTCTTTATTAATTTATGAGCAATTAACCGATTGAATAAAAATTCAAAATCTAATATTGGAATTTATTATAAACGAAAATTATGTATAATTTACCTCTTCACAAATTATACTTAGAAGCTAATATAATATAGAATCTTCTTTCTTCTCTTCCTACATAGTTAGGTTTTTTACGCAACAACCAACAAATTATTTAAAGCAAAATGCTTTGTCCAAGATATTTTTTTTTTGTTTAATTGAAATCGTCAAAGCCCCAAATAATTATAATTGTTGTGTCGCTATACACTTCCAATTCTATTTACATTTAAGTTTTGGACAATGATGTTTAGTTTAGAAATGCTTACTAAATATTTATTTTAGTTAATTTTTCAACAAATATTTACAATCAGAATTTTAACAATGTAAATAAAATTTTTTTTCTCTTATTGTTATTTTTACAACTTCTTTTCAACGGATGATAGAAAAACAAAATATTAGTTTTCTATTGATTGAAGTACAATATGCCATTTCATTTTTTTTGAATTCATTCAAAAGTGAAACAACTCCTAAAATCATAAATTTCAAAGAATTTAAATTTATTGAACTGAAAATATAAAAAGAAATATAATTTTAACCTATTAAAATACGCTGATTATATTGTTATCATCGCAAAGGGGAAGTTTGAAGAGCCTCTTTGTGACATACTGCAAAAAGGCCTGTGGGTGACACTAGCCTGATGTGGCACTGTGGAGATCAAACTCAATCCTAGCAAGATGACCCTGGTGCCCTTCACTAAGAGAATAAATCTTGAGCATCTGCGCACTATACAGATGTGCGGAGAGACAGTTGAAAGGAAAACGGAGGTGAAATACCTTGGTGTGGTATTTGACAGCGGGCTTCTTTGACGAAGACACGAAGAAGTGGTAAGGGTAAAGGCTACCCGGGCACTCATGGTGTGCAGGGAACTTTCCAGTAGAACGTGGTCCATCATGAGCTGGATGTACAACATGATGATGGTGCCACTCCTCACATACATGGCAGTTGCTTGGACAGAAAAGTTATACTTGAGGCAACAAGAAGAAACCTGGAACGTTTGCAGAGATTTGCACTCGTCTGCATCGCTGGGGCTATGAATACATGTCCAACAGCGTCAATGGAAGTGATTTTGGGACTAACCCTACTGTATCTCGTTGTCGAGTTGGCGGCGAAGGCGACCATTCTGCTCTGAGGGGGAGATCGAGAACGTCTCACCGGCCAGACTCCGCTTCTCGCATTTCCCAGCGATGACATGGTTACAAGATAACCCTCGAGAAAAACTTCACCTAGTTGCTAAACGACTGAAGGAGCTGGAAGGAAGATTTTGCGGGCTACACGGTCGGATCACATGTTATCGTGTGGTACACGGATTGATCAAAAACCTGTGAGGGGACGGGTGCGGCCGTTTAAAATTAGGTTTAAGGCCTATATAGCAGCTTCCCGAGCCTGTGAAGCCTGTTCGCTTTATTTGTTTTTGAGTTACCGTGAGATCGGACAGACGGACGGAAATGTCTAAACTAAGAATTACACGCCGAGCAAGAATATATATATCCACACCGGAAACAATTCCTTCAGGTAATTACAAATTCCATATCAAAGTTGATATATCCCTCACGAAGATGCACGCTACAATAATTAAATAATTTCAATCAAGAAACTGTTCTATGTTTTATTTGAAATGCTCGAATACATATACGAATTAATTGAATTAGAATTAAATTTTTCTAAGCTTATTATAAAATGCATAGTCTAACAGCCAGTTTAAGTCAGTTTTTGGTTAGATTTCATAGAAGTCAGATTATCTAATAATTTTAATTTTAAAAAATCTTGAAAAAAAAAAACGAATAACAATGAAATTTATTTTTGGTTTAATATTAGCAATTTTTGCTTTAATTGCATTTACCGGCGCTTCAAGACCAAGTATTGCCATATAGTTAATTTATTTATCAATAGAATTTTAATTTCGAATTACATCTCTTTCTAGAACATTGTGACTTACCACCTGAATCTGGAACATGTCAACAATTTCTTAAAGTATATCATTTTGATCCGAAATCAAATTCATGTAAAACATTTGAATATGGTGGATGCGGTGGTAATGGAAACAGATTTGATACACAATCATTATGTGAAAAAGAATGCAAAAAATAAAAGTTATCCGCTACCGTTAACAAGAACCTTTTAAGGGCATTAAATTTATTGTTTGCATATTGTGTCAATTTTTTTTTTTTTTTCTATGTTAAAATTTAAGTTTATTCATTCTGTTTAATATCAGATAAAGTAAAGATATTAATAATTTAATAAATTCATATTTTTTTAAATTAAGATGCGATATGGTAATTTTTTTAACGATATTTAACCGTGTTATCAATAAGTTAATTAAAAGGACATCGTAATTGCTTTATATAATCATTGAAATATAAATATCAAAATTTGTGTCATGAAAATTCGATTAAGGCGCCTCTATAGTTAGCGGCTCTTAAATCTAGAAATTTTTTTTCAACCTCAAGCTTCTTCAATATACAATTGCGTTAGTGTCAAATGAAATGAAATTCTCTACATCTACATACAAATGGCCCATATCTTTTCTAAGGTAAGAAAACCACTGTTTAAGACTACGTCAATGTAAAATTATAAATAACTACAAATTTACTATAATCAACTATAAGTCAATTTAATGTTGTTTTTGCAAAACTGATAACATCAAAGTATTTTTAAATTAAACTAGAAATATCACTTGAAAATAAAAATAATTTTGACCTTTATAAACTACGAGTATAAGACAAAATTGAGAAAAAATCTTATGTTGTATCACTATATAAGACTTCTTAAATTTGTATTTACAGGGGCATTCTTAATATTATTCATTACGCTAGAACTAAAAAAGAAATTTTAAGGTTCTTACAAATTAAGTTCAAAAATTTTTTAATTAATTGCAGCTAGCCAAAACCCCTTCTGAAGCATCTTAGTCGTAAGTGAGACCCTGCCTTGCATTCATACAATGAGTGCTCCATAATGTCGTCCATCCTAGAGAGAGACAGATCATCTCGCACTTTTCCTTGCCAGTGCTCTTCAGATGGACCATAACTACATCTTAAAAGATGTTAATGATTTACGCTAAACGCTACAAACGAAACCTTATAGTACAACTGTTGCAACCTCAAAGACTCAAATAATACACAGTAGGTATAAACTCAAACTATAGTAAGTAGGTGCGAAGTTCAGATGTTATGTAAAATATAATTTTTGCTACTTTTAACTACACCAACGAAAACTAACAATAACGATTTGGTAAAGACCCCGTATTTATAAGTTAATTCATATAATAATTATCAACTATTGAGGCATATGGAGAAATAAACCCACACACAACCCTATTTAAGTCATAACATATATGCATACGTAAAATTATATAGGAAATAAAAATATTTACTTTTATTGTGGTGAATTTTTTTTTTTCAGTCTAGAATTAGCTCTATAGCTTCAACAACATTTGAAATATTGAAAAATAAAAAAAATCGCAAAGATTTTAAATTGATATTTTCCTTTTCATATAAAAAAAATTATAATGAAACTTTCTATTAGTATTTTTATAACCTTGGCCCTAATCTATTTTGAAAGCGCTTGTGCAGCCCCATCGTTATCAGGTATCGTTTTATTTATTTTATTTTTATTATATTATTGTTTTTTTCTATGCTACAAAACTACGGCACTATACTGATAATTTTATTTATTTACTTTTAATCAGCAAAATGTGTTGAACCGGTCGAAGTTGGAACATGTTCTTTAAAACTTCCACGATTTTATTATGACACAAAAACAGATGAATGCAAAGAATTTCGATATGGTGGATGCCGTGGAAATAATAATCGATTTGGTACTAAAGAATTTTGTGAAAAAGAATGTAAAAAACCAAATGAAACGAAAAAAAATTAAAAGTTACAAATTCAATCGCCTAAATTTATGCAATATAAAAAAAAAATTTTAAAAGAATTACGTATAAAAATTTAATAATGGCGTTGTGATTGTTTAAATTATAGTTAATGTAGAACGCGCAAATAAAATTTTTTAAGAAAATAAATAAATATACAAGTATAAATTTTGATATTGTTTTAAGTGGGCAAATTTTAAATATTTAAAACTAAAATAGCTATGTGCCTATTCATAGCGTTTAGGTAGTTCAATAATAATGCAGAAAATTTAACAGCAAGTAAGAAAAAATGAGGCAAATTTTACTTTGAATTATAATATAGCCAATTTTACATTCAATTTAATCAGTGCATCCCTTCTGTCCAAAAACACATTGATGATACGATGTCCCCCTCTCAAGTTAACCCTAAAACAGACGGGCCGGCCTAGCAGAGCCGTGTGTAGCCGCAGTGCTATCTTACAATTGCAATGAAATCATCCAATACAATGCATCCCGCCTCGCTGGCATACTTTTAGAACAATACAAAGAGTGTATCGCCAGCTATGGTTGACTTAATGATCCCATTCTGTAGCATCCGGGTAACCCATCTACTCGTGGTCGCATAACGTTTGTGAAACAACTGGCAGACGACGTAATATGAAGGATCATTAAATGCAATTTCAATATCAAAGAAGAAATCGACTGCCCTTCTCGCACTGTTCTCGAGATCCCCTGCCAGACTTTGCAGAGGGAGTGTAATAGACTTTCTTGATTGATAGAAATATGCTGGGACTCATGCAGGAGATCGTACAACTTTCAAGGCATACATTCGAAAATATTTAAAAAACAACACCATTTTCTTTATGGTATTTATATAATATAATAAATTATTATATATTTATTCCCTTAATATTTAACTACAAATATAAAAAAAAAATGTTTTTTATTTTGAATTAATATGAAAAGTATGATTTTACATAATAGATAAAAATATATTTAATATAAAGTATTTTATTTAAAAAAAAAAATTAAAATAAAAACAGAAAAAATAAAGTGCCTTTATTATTTTAAGCATTCCTTTTCGCATTCCTCCCTCGATGCAAATTTATTACGATTACCGCCACAGCCATGATATTTGAATTTTTCACATTCATTTGTTCTCAAATTAAATGTCCACAACGGTACGTTGGCTCTGCATGGACCATCATTATATGCATGAGCTTCATTGCATTTTTCTATAAAATGTAGGTAATAAAGTAGAAAATATTTGATATTAAGAATTTGTTATATACATTTTAACAAAAAATATATATATACACGCTACTAATAATATTTTTTGTATTAAAATTTTACCAGACAATCTTATTTCTTAACTAAAATGAGTTAAAGCATTGCTAAATAACATTTAAAGCTACATTTTCTCATTAATTCAATAAAAGGTAATTAACAAATTGTTAATTATTTTTATAGCACCTACATTATATTCAAAATAAATATTATAAAAATAAAATTCTAAAAAATTTTTTATTATTATCAACTAATTCCGTGAATTATCTAGTACATTCTTAAAGATAAAATAAAATAGAAAATGAAAATTTAATTTTACAAAAAAAAAAGAAAATATTTATGAACTATATAACATGTAAATATGTTTAAGCACTTTTAATTGATAATTTGAGCTCAATTACAAACACAAATACTTATAAGTGCTATAAATAATAATAATGAACAAAGTTGCATTTCATGGATGTATGACATATTATTCGTAATTCAATTCACTTAAATATTCTATTGAATAAATTCAAGTACATAATTATTTAACTTAGTATATTAAAGTTTACAGTTTGTTTAAGTATATTATGTTTGCCGAAATTATAGTGATATTTATAGCAAATTTTAGTGCAATACTAATTAATAAAGATTTAATTCATAACTAAAGTTATAAATTTGCATGAAAGCCGATAGTCACTAATTGTGATTTTCCATATATTTAAAATATATTTTTCAATTAAGAAAAATTTCACTTATTATTTTAGAGGTTAATGAACTTAATTCATAAATAATAGGCAAACTTAAGTTTAATTAAATTTGAAATCGGTAAAACATATAAATGTTACGAGAACGCTTTTAATAGTGCCAAAATAAAATACCAACTTCGATAATTAAAATTTCATAATATTAATATTGCTGTCCCCGAATTACGAAAAGTTCCGTTCTTTCTCGAAGAACACATTTATTACTACAGCACTTTTATTGTATTGTTAAGTGAATTTCTTTTGTTTGATTGAAGATTTTATCTGACTGAATTTCATTGTACATATTTACATTTTATTTAATAACATAAATTTTCGATATGGTATGCCTGTACATAAACAGTCCATATATGTGCAGATTCATTGTACATTCAATGCAAAAAAAAAAACAAAATCCTCAAAATTTTTTTTATGAAATAAAAAAATTTAATTAATTGCATTGTATATAATTTTATTGAATATTTTACTAATATTGAATCATGTTTTTTAATATAATTTTAAATTAATTGAAATGAGGAATATATAATCGCCCTCTGCCCCACCTCAAAAATAATTTAATACAATTATAATTAAATATTATTTAAAATAAATAGATTTTTAACTAATAATTAAATTAATTTCGAATTTTTTTTATATTATTTTATTTTATTTTTTTTTTTCAACCAAATTCAATAACAAAAATTTTCATTCATATTTAATTTTTTTATTTAATTAACCATTTAAATAATTAAAAATTTATTTTTATACGCAATATTATTATTATATATACAATGTGATTATATCTTTTATAGCTTATATTATAAATTATTTTTTATGTATATATTTAATATTTTTTTTTTCTAATAAAAATTGAAAATATTTAAAATCCACCATATTTTCCATATACAATACGTTTAATAATACCTGTTTTTGCGTTAATTTCTAATAAATATATTGAAGATATAAAAAATAAAGACAATAAAAATTTCATCATTTTTTTTCTCGTTTCTTTTTCCGCTTTCTTGAATTTCTATTGAGAATTTAAGACAAAAATTCTATAAAGTATTTTTCAATATTCTTTTAATACCAATAAAAGAAGAATTCTAAGAAAAAGATCCGTACACAAAATCTAAATATAAACTGTTTGTTAAAAATGTAAGACGCAACATTTTATATAGAGCATCATCATAGTCTATAAAAATAAAGATAAAAAAGCATAAAAAAAAATTTTGATGTGGCCAGCACATAACCGACCAGTATAACCGCAATGTAAGATTATGAAAATGTGTTTCAAGCACTTGTTTACAATTTTAAGAACACTAGTAATCTTTTATTCCTTATAGTTAATATTCCTTGAAAAATATAGATTTGACTCTTAGTAGAGTTTCGCTTTGTGCCAAACTCGAAATTCCATAGAAATCAGAACGCAAATACATATTAAACTTCAAAAAATACCATTAATTAAAAGTTCATCAATCCGTGATATAGCCGAAATAAACTCATATATAAAACTTTATTATAAATCGATTCAGCCGAATTTGATGTACACGCGAGCACACACAGACTGACAGACCGATAGACCGATATCTCTCTAAAAATAGTTTATTTACGCTTCCCTACTGCAGAGAAATGCGTTCCCACCGAAAATTGGACATCCGACATACCATCACATAACCTCCCTTATTGTATTCAATCCAGTCGGTAAAAATAATTTGAGAAAACTCATAAGTGGTTAGGACTACTTAAGGATATTTTAAAGTTATTTGAACTTGTCGGATAAGGTTTCTTATAAATTTTTACATTATGTATTAGATCTGGCGGGTTTATCTATATATTTTCCATACCTGTCATATACATATTTTATGACAGGGGAAAATCGAATAAATTCAAAATATGTGTAACTTTATATTGCGCTTAGCCAAAAAAGCGTATGAACACCTTAATCCTGATGCAATTGAAGATGTATCAATTTTAAGGTAGATATATTTTTTTTCACATATAAAATGGATCAATACCTCGTTCTCCAAACAGCAGAACTACACAACATATTTCGTTATGACATTCTCAAAAAGTTTGTTAGTAAGCACCCCGACGCTAAATAAAGTTTCTTGGAATATTGGATTTAGAACACTAAGATGTCGTCACCCTACTGTACTCAGATACCAACTCAAGCCTCATCTTAATGATCAATATAAATAATTTACAGGTTTATAATCTACTGATTTATTCTAAAACTGATCAATTATAAAGTGAGTTAGTCTCATTTGAGAGACCACAAGGGTAAATAAAATCGCACCTTCTGCCCGAGAGAGCATTATAAATCCTCTAATTTTTCTGGCTCCTTATTTAAATTCGGTTTAATTTAATTTATCAAAATAGAATTAAATTTCGGCATTCCTTAGCGACCAACACTTTCATTATTATAAATGGAGAAATAAATTCGATATACACAACGTTTTTCATTAAAAAGAATTAAAATTATTAAAGAAACCAGTTTCTGGAGTTGACCGATTAAAATTTTTCAAGAATTAAAATCCAATTTTACACTTATATACATACATACATAATACATACTACATATTATCTACATTTTTATATATTTATGTACAACCTCTCTAAAATACAAAAACTTCATAATTTTCTTACTCTCTATTTGAGTGAAAATTGTGAAATGCCAATTAAAGTTCTTTGAATTTTAATTAAAAGAAAATATCATCACCTATACAAAAAATTTCTTTAATTTTTTCTAACATTCTAACGGTATCCATTAATTCAGTTATTTTTTGATCAATTTCAAATTATTCGATCAATTTCTAATTGAACTTTAACATTTTCTTCAATTTGGAATAGAAAGTTAAAAGAAAAATATTTTGCAAATGTATGTTATATTAATGCGTATGTATATATAATACTGTAAATATATGTATGTATGTATTTGCATATGTACATTAATATATTATTATCTAAGTGTATTTGGCATGAATGACATATCATTAATCATTGATTTTGTTATTATCTTATATTTTAATAAAAAATAATTATTCTATTAAATAAAAAAAATTATAAAACCACGTTTTTCTATCGGACTAAAATAATTTTTTTCTTTGCCAGAGTTGAACTGTTATACCGTCAAATTCGGAAACTTTAATAGGTAATTATATGTTTATTTTGGAAAATTTAAAAAGTTTAGAAAATAACAAAGTGTGACAGTTATCGTTCTCTATCGTTCTAGATTTTTCATCTCCCTCTCCTTTCATCTCTCTGCATCAATCCATATCGATCTTTCTCTCTTTCCATCATTCCATCCATATCTCTCCGTTTCTCTCGTATTCCCAATCTCCTTCTCATTTTCCAATTACATGCATATGTTATCAGATATCCACCTATCGGATGTTGAAAACAAAAAATAATTTGGATACAATAGTGTTAAAATATTGCACTGTTATCAAGAACTGCCATGTGTAAAAAATTCGTGGGACTTTGGACATTTAGAATTGACGTGGTGAAAAATTAATAAGAATTTTAAAAAATTATTTAATTTAAAAATTTTGTTTTGTCTTCATTAGAAATGAAAAAGAAGCTTCTTTTATTAAACAAATAAAAAAATTTGAAGTCTCTTTTGTGTCAAATGTGCACAGGAATTTCTTTTAAACCAAACAAGTTTTATACATTGTAATTATTACGAGTACTATTAAATTTAAATTAAAATATAAAATGTAATTAAAATTAAAATAGTATCAAAAATAATTTGTCAAATATCAGAATTATTTTGTCGAATGTCAAACGTAATTTGTCAAATGTCAAAAATAATTTAAAATTTTGTGAAAAATTGATTTGAAAATAAAAAAAAACGCTCTAAATTCGGCATTGTCTAACAAGTATCGCGTTTGTAATATCTTGTGACACTAACTTTATATGTACATATACATATGTATTTGAAATGTTAGAAAAATATTTGTTTTTACTAATTTTGTGGTATAAATTTTTACTTAAATAGCTATCTATCTGTTCTTTAAAATATAATTTCAAAACCAGTAAGAGTATTAAAATTTCTATTATTTTACTGTTGTTGCTAATTTTTTCTTTTCATTTATTGTTTTTTAATATAATATGAAAAACATATAATCTATGTAAATATGTATATATCCTAAACTTGTAAAACCAGTCATAATTCATTTAAAAATCGAAAGTAATTTAAAAAAAAAAACGAAACAGAATAATTTATGTTTTATGTTAGAATTTATGCAAATGAGCTATTGAACATCTCCACGAACCTACTATACTATATACATCTCTTTTTAACTTTAATATTATAGTGACTTATCTCTATTTTAAATAAAATCTTTAAACGTTAACTTAATGCTTAGAAGTTAGGTACAATAGGCTAAGCAAATCAACTGTTAAGTTAATATAAGTTGCCAATATAAAAAAATAATAATATTTACTTAATATTTAGGGTCAATCACTTGATGATTTCCTTATTATCTTAACCGTATTGTGTATTGTTGGTAACTTTTACAAAGCTTTCAAAGTAGTTATTTATAAGTGGATTAACCGCTTTCGTTTTCATTGCTTATGTTTTTTGTTCTGCTTCGGTTTTTAAATTCAAAAGTTTTTATTCTTTTTTTATAATTAATTCAAAAAGTGAGTCGGTGACTCTCAAAAAATTTATATGAAAACAAAAAAGAAATTAATTGTTTACTATATAAATCGCAATTAAGTATAGCATTATACCTTCGGTATACATGTATATGATTATTACTATATGAAGTTTAATCGCAAAGAATAAGAATGCGTGCAGATTATAATAAGTTTTGTGAATCATACTTAAAATTTATATTTATTTAGTCATATAGCTTTGTATAGAAAACAAAAAAATCATACTAGTTATTTTATAACTTAATAAGAAAATCATTTGATGTAAACAAATGATATATGTACATATGTATTATGCCGATTTAATGTTATAATAAAATTAGAAATAAAAACAATGACGCAGAATAACTCCAAAAACAGCTGGAGAATAAAACATAAAAACTAAAACAATAAAATTTTATGATTTGACAAAGACATTACTGTGGCGATACGATATAAACCGAAAATGGAGAAAATACGCATATGCGGCAATTCCATACTGGCCAATACATATTCAGATATGATTCAAAATGAAATGATATCAAACGGCCAGAGAGACGAAAGTCAAAATCGACTCGGAGGGACTATGTAGAAGGTGTGATAAAAAATTTAAATGCAATTTGGTAACTTAAAAACTACATTTGGGGTCACTAATATTACAGCTTGATGGGCAAAAGAAAAGTGGGGAAATGGGAGCCTATTAGTAAACTGTGGAAAAAGAGGAATTGTCTGAAACCAATGGAGAAGAATTAGTTAGATGATCAGAGAAAAAGTGATGTAATCAATCGACGTCTACATGAAACTTAATTTATTAAAGAGATAAATCTGGGAGTACCGCTTTAACTTTCTATATACTTTATGGCATATTTCGTATACTGAATATTTAACTTGCGCAATCATCTGATAATTAACATTCTTTTTAAAAGTTTTTATATTCTATCCCACAATTATATCAAATTTTTATTGAAGACTCATTATAATTTGAAATCTTTCATAACTAACTTTCTCTAAAAGCTTAATAGGTAATTAAAATTTATTTTTATTTTACTTAATACTTTTTAAATTTAATTATGTATTAAGATTTCGAAATAGTATATATTCTCTATATTAATTCATTTCACGCGAATTTTACAAACAACTGTATAAATTGAAAACTTTTTTTTTCATTTCAATTATTGAATAATTTCTAAACGTTTTTGCTGTCAATGGTTATTAAAATTTGAAATAAAATGTTTTATAATATCTGCACTCGTCTTTCAAGTCATTATTTGAAATTAATTTCAATGCTATTTTTTGCTTTGTATTCTTTCAGAAACCTACAAAACTATTTTTACGACAATAACATTGTAGTTTCAGCATTGATCTGTGAAATAATGACATAAAATTTATTTGCCGTTTAAATGGTTTTATCCTAAATTTTTGGCAAAAATAATTTATGAATACTTATAATTTGGCCAATATACTCAAAGCATTTTGTTATCATTCACAATTTTAATTTTATTTCAATTAATATGCAATTGTGATTATCTTAATGGCGAATTTTTATTAGGAAGTTAAATAACAAAATTTGAACAGGTCTATTGAATAAAATTAAATTGAAACTTAAATTAAATAAAGATTTTTCTCACCATCGATTTTTAATACAAAGTTTTTTTACCATAAATCTATTATGTGTGCTAATATCAATAAAATATGCAATTCAAATGGAACTAGAACATTTCATCGTCATTCTCCTTTTTGCATTATTTCACATAATAATAGAAAATTTTTATAAATATCTATTTGAATATGGTTGAAAGCATTCATTAAATGAGCATTTGTTATACTTAATTAAACCGTTTTTACACCTTCTAATCGAATATAATACTGAAATTGGCGGGATAAAAAAAAAGTTAAATTTTATAGTTATTACCAATTAATGCCCATGACATATTTAAATATTTTTTTATTCATGTCACTTTCATATTACTATTTAGTTTCCTCTTTATTTATTCTATGATTTTTTTTAAATTTTTCTACATACTTTGTTTTAAAATTGATTAAAACTCATAGAATTTGATCTAAAATCATACTAATAAATGGTACCATATCTTTTATCCAAAAGTATATTTATGTTCTAAAAAATTCAGGGTGTGTCATACCATAAAAACAATTTAATATTAATTTTACAGTTGGTACAAACCGACCGAATCATACCCCACACCTTGACAATCTGAGTTTAAAAATTTATTTTTGAAACATCTAGAATCAGCTTTCATTGTTGTATGCCAATTACTCGAACCTATCATACTACTCTATAGAAACGGATATGTGTGACCTATAATTAGACAAACAACTGCCAAGTTTCATGAATCTAGATTAATTTTTGGAGCTGTATGGCAGCTACCTGAACCAATGCAGCCATTCCATCAAAAATTTTCAGAACATATTTATGTAAAATGTAATTAAACACACAATTAGACAATTGGAATTTGATATTAATATCTTTACTAGTTTTTGAAATATTTAAAATAACCTCTTTGAGTTGTATGGCAGCTGTCCGAACCCGTTGTTCGAATTCGTCTAATTACAATAGCAGCCGCCCTTGGCAGAAAAGAAACAACTTGTAAAAATTGATTGCATTATTCGTTTTTGATTGATCGTGCGGTCGGCGATAAACAGACGGGAATATCTAAATCAAAGCAGAATTTTACGCTGAGCAAGAATATATATACATGTCCATACCGGAGACGACTTCTTCAATTGATTACAAAATTCATACCAAAGTGAATACACCCTTCACGAAGATGCAGGGTATAAAAAAAGGTAATTTTTTTTTGGTCCAAAAGTCAGTAACGTTTCACATCACAACGTCCGATTTTCACAATAATAGTACATTCAAATAAAAGAGGAGAAAATTAATTTTAAAGTAATTTAAAATATTATAAATTTATTCGAATTCATTCTAATGGAACAGTTCTACATAATCAATTCAATCAAAATTAATAGCATTCGGTTAAAATTTTTAATATTTAATATTTTATTATACCATTGTTTAGTAATAAATTTACAAAAGTTTATAAAAATGAAATTCAATTTTATATTTTTTATAATATTTAATATTATTGGTTTTATTTGTACACAAAAATCAGGTATATATCACGGCATAGTATATACCAATATATAATAAATTTATTACATAATGAACACTATTTTGAGTGTTATATTATAATTATGTGAGTCTATAATCCGCCCACTATAATAATTATTATCGTGATTTATCATATAATTAATATTAATTAATAGAAATAAAAGATAATTAAAAATACTTAATTTTCTTACAATTAATTGTTTACATTTCTAAATGGTTTATGAACTGGAATGAAAATCATAACCGCAAACATATTATACAAACATATTATAGAATATAATATTCTGTATATGTAAATATACATATATATGAAATTATGCAACAAATACTAATTAAATTTATTATGGCCTAATTATACAAAATTTTAAATGATTATAAAAAAAATTTGCGCTTGTTTTATAAATTTTGATTGAAAATCTCTTATTAAATACTAGACAAAAAATATTAATTCTGAGAAATTTAAATTTGCTTATATCATATTTTGTAGCTATAAAAAACTACTAAATATTATTAATAATAGTGATATTTGAAAATTAGTTATTTGAATAATTTGAAGTTGATTATTTCAAATAATTAACTATGTATTTGTATATGAAAATTTATATTGTATAAAAATAGAATTAAAATTAAAAGAAATTATTAAAAAAAATTTTTCGGGAAAATAAGGCGAAATTTCACTCGTAAAAACCCAATGCTCATTATTACGTGATTTATTGTTTCAATACAACTTTCACACACTCTAATATATTTGTAATTAATACAATAAAATTCTAATGAATTTAGAAAATAATAAAACATGATTTAAAAATGCTCCAATATATACTATGATTGAAGTTGTTATCACAGTTGCATTGTATTTAATCTAATATAATGTAATTTAATGTGATCAATTAAATAGCAGATTTTCATGATTAATACCACTTACTGATTAATAATAAAAATATGTTCATCGTAGTAATTAATTGCACACCTCCATCTGCAGTAATTATACCTACCAAGGTAACAGAATTCAGTGTCATTTTCTATTTCATGTGTTGTATATTTTTAGTATGGCATTATTTCGCGCGTTAGTTCTCATATTTTTGTTTGTCTTACTCCCGTTTATTTGGAGACTGACTCTCTTTGAATTTTATTCAGTCTATTCTCTTATGATATCGTCATATATCGCATTGAACAGGGTTAGAGACAGATAAGACAATCTTGTTGATTCCGACCCTCAATATTTTTCAGTTGATTAATTGGCCTTATTGAATTACCCTTAGTTCCGCATATTTATACAGTGCCTTTATTTTAATGATTATTTTGTTTGGAATTCTCGATTCATCGTATCGAAGCCCCTTTAGAAATCTATGAAAGTGATATACAGTAGTGAATTCCATCCGACTGACTGTTCAGCAATTATTCGAAGTGCGTTAGACTATGGACGCTGCAGTCGCAATTGCTTTTCAATCCCGGATGTTTCTCCCTAAGGTCTGCTTCTATTTTACTCTTAATTCTAGAATGTATTTCAACTACAGTTTTTGCATTCCGTTAAGTCTCCATTTTTTTACAGCTTTATTATAATGCCCCATTTTCAACAGGACAATTTTTATTTTGTTTACCAGAGCCTATCGAATATTGGGTGCATTAATGCATTATACTTTCAGTTATTGTGGAGTTTATTTTGAGCAGCCCTAACGCGACTCCATCGACGGCTTCTGATTTGTAAGCGAAACTATTTATAGTATTTATATTATTTATATACTATACAAACCATTTTTGGAAATTTCTTGAAACTTACAGACTTAGTTTTGAAGTTGTAAATATAACGAATCATAATTTGTCATTGAATTAAAATTAGATCATTTGGAAAATTGTTGTAAACTGACTATAAAGCGGTTATTTTATATGTATATAGCTCTTCTTTTTACCATAAATCTTAAACAATCTATAGGAGATTAATTTTTAAGAGCAATATTAATATATTATGAAATTTGTTAATAAATAATTTTTTTTCAGCAAAATGCCTACAAGAAAAGCAGGTTGGACCATGTAGAGGTAATATGCCGGCTTGGTATTTTAATATGGACTCAAAAACATGTGAAAAATTTCATTATGGTGGTTGTGGTGGAAACGATAACAATTTTAAAACACTTGAAGATTGTGTTGCCGAATGCAAAATTTAACTATTTTTCTTTACTTATATTTTATACTCTTATATTCTGTATTTTACTTTATTTATTAAATTTTACTTTAATTTAATTTAATTTAATAAATTTTACTAATATAATTAGTACAAAATTATATATGTGTAATTGCAATATTGCATAATTTTAAAATAAAAAAAAATTTAAAATATTTTATTCTTTATTGGTTTGAGATAATAGAGGAAGTAGACTTTATGACGCTTTATAGTAGAAGAAAAAGAAATAAAAGTTCACAATCATAAATCACACAAGTCGATTAACATTCGGATATAGTAAAAACAAAATTCGATTATTAGTGACGATGATAAAGTTTAGAACGTCAATATCCCGAAAATGTGAAATAACAAATAATTTGTCATCAAAAAAATTTATAAGAAACAAAACATTTTATACAGATTTAAACGACTTCCAATTTCTTTTAATCGACGTTTGTATATGCCCTTAATAATCATTTATAGAATAAAAATATAATTATAATTTTTTTTTGTAGTAATTTTAAATACTCACTATATATTAATGAAATACACTTATGAGTCAGAGGTCGAATTCGGAAGTAGGCTAAATTTTCTTAATCATTCTTTTAAATTTAATCAATTATTTATTATATGATTCCAAATTGTGTTAAAAAAAAATCAACAGAAGAAAAGTAACAAAATATTTTATTTACATATTTTTAAGGTATTTCGTAAGACGGCGGAATTTTTTATAAGAAATAAACAAATTAAGTGTAAGTATTTTTAATAATATTATCAATAAAAATATTTATGTATGTGCATATTGCAAATCTTTTATATATATACGTACATAAATATATGTACATCGTCACATCTATTATATAACAACAAAAATTTTCTAATCCAATTTTATTTTTGTTTCCCCATATAATATATTTTTAATTTAGAGCTTCTGATACCTAGATAAAGTGGTGTATTATATTATTGAGTGACATTTTAAACCTGAAAACTGATAACATAAATTATCTTGAAAACTCGAAAATTTTCGGAAAGATAAGATATTTTATTTTGTTTCAAATATAAAATAGACATAAAAAGTTGATTTCAAACTATTTAATGAAAAATCATCAGTTTATGATTTTTATTTCGGAAGTAAAATAATTGTATCAAAAGTTTTTCAATATTTTATTAACGTTTTAAATATTTGAAGGAAAAAAAATAATTCAAAATGAAATTTTTATTAATTTTTACAATTATATTGATATCTCTTCTTGGTCTTCTAAATGCTGAAATTCCAAGTATGTATGTAAAAATTAAAATTAGAATTATTATAGAAATCAGTAATTTCAATATTATTAATTTTCCTGTTTTTCTTTTGTAGAAGTGTGTCTCAAACCTAAAAAAATTGGATTCGGTAGAGCAAGCTTTCATCGATATTATTATAATACCGAAACTCAACAATGTGAATTATTCACTTTTGGTGGAGGCAGTTCAGAAGGAGAAAATAATTTCGCTTCAAAAGAAGAATGTGAACGAGAATGCGGAACAGCACATTAGTCTGGAATTTTTAAATGAGTGCGATTAAAATATTATTTTTATTAAATATGACATCAAAAATTCAATATTTATTTTTTCTGAATAATATGTGAATTGTTTTAAAGAATTTACAAAAATTAAAAAAAAATTTACAATGAAAAGTTGCAACTGCGTTAATTTTTTTCTCGAAAACGAAAAATTCATAAAATTTGTTTAATTATGATAATTTTAATTACAATATGTTTAATATTTTAAAATTTTATTTAATTAATTCAGAATTTTTAAATATGCCAATATAAATAATAAAAAAAATTCTAGTCATTCACAATAAAAATGATATAAATATGTTATAAATAAAATTTGGATGTATGTAGGTATATTTATATATGTATACATGACATATATGATATATATGATATATATGATATATATGATATATATGATACATATGATATATATGATATATATGATATATATGATATATGTATATGATATATATGATATATATGATATATATGATATATATGTGGTATATATAATATATGATATATATGATATATATGATAAATATGATATATATATGATATATATATGATATATATTATATGATATATAATATATATGATACTTATGATATATATTATATGAAATATAATATATATGATACATATGATGTGATATATATTATATATATATGATATGATACATAATATATGATATATATCATGTATTTTATGATATATATATATTTATATGTATATATACATGTTTATATACATATATATACATATTTATATAAACATATATTACATTTACACGCATAGTGTACTTATTACTAAAGTTCACGAATATTTTTCTTATGCCTTAATATATAAACGAAAATGAAATTAAGAGAATGATTAGAGAATGTAGAAAATTTTCGTTACACTTGTAAGAGTTCTTCACATGTACATAAACTTTAAAAATTACAATTTTTTAATATTCAAATTAAACTAATATAAAAAATCAATTAAATATAAGGAAAACGTTTTACTGAATCGAAAGAAAAATTTAATGAGAATAAAAATTTAATATTTATATTATTGGTAAGATAAAAACTTTCAAATAAAAACATTTTGACCTACATATATGAATAAAATTTTTATATTTTATATCCTATAATTGGCATGGCCATTTACAAGTTACTTTTTATTTAATTTAAAAAAAAATTGCGTGTTTAAGGATTCTCAAATATGTATGAACTTAATTATAAAAATTGTACGAAATTTATTTTACTTAATTGTAAAATTTATCATCTGTTCGAAATTGCTTTGGAGTAACTCTTACAACATTTCTTTTATCAACTGCTCAAGATACCATATAAATAATCAATATAATATAAAAAAAACCCAAAATTAATTATCTAATAATAGATATTTACTATATATAAAAATTTGTGTATGTACATATACATATTATTATACATACTCCCAAGTACAGTGCAACTTTCACTTAAGTCTAAAAAAAATTGATCTTAATATCAAGCACATATCAAAGATTTTAAATAGATTGAAATTACAATTAAATGACTGTAAATTTATATATTTATTTTCGTAACCCAAATAATATATTTATTTGCTTAAATATACATACTTCATTTTAATAACAAAAATCGTACATAAATACATATAACAATAACTATTATAATAGCTTTCAAAATAATATTTTCAAATAAATATGTTTCAGTTTTTAAACTATACAATATATGATAAAAAATCAAAACGGAGACCATGACGTATAAAATTGGCTAATACGTACACTTTCAGCCAACTTCCATTAATCTTTTTTAAAATTGGAATATCTGCTTTAGTCATTGTTTGAAATTGAATTTGGAAGAACAATATTGCCAGACTTACATTCCCTGCTATATTGTTTCTCTATTATAAAAGAACATGCTCCTCTTTTGGGATATTGAAAGATCAATGAGCAAAGACGTTCTTCCCATAGCATTTTGAAATATCACCGAAACGCTGGGAATCAGCAACGTCCAATTTCATCTACAGGTTTAGCAAGACGACACCATGTTGACATGAACAATGCCAGTTACGCGAGAATCTAGTATATGAGAATTTTTTTCATTTTATTTAACTCTTTTAATGTCACCATCAAAGCACTCTCACACAAATTTCATAACCCTTTTAGATTTTCCAATTTGTCATCTTGCCACTATAAAAAAGAACAATAATTTATCTGTTTTCCTGCCTTAATATATATGTACATATTAAAAAGAATATTATTAACTTGGATTTTTTTTTTAATTTCAAACATAATGTACAATAGATTAAAAAAATCTAAATCAATATTTACTTTCGATTCTTTTTGTTTTTAATTCGAGAAGTCATATTTTCCCCCCTAAATATTTACATAAGAAAGGTATATATATTTCAAAATTTTCTTATTATAAAATTTTATACAATTTTTATATCGCATTCATATTTAAGATACAATCAATAAAATGTTATAAATTAAAACGAATATTAAAAATTTTATTTAGTTCTGGAACACATATTAATTGACTAGGTTACGTGTTACTTATAGGATATCTGCAATAAAGGAAGAAAATTATGAAAATAATTTCATTTTTATTTGTAATTATATTTAGTGCACTCAGTTATGCAGTAAAACCGGGTACGTAATAAAAATTTTTAATTAAATATTTACTTTTTTATGTGTATATGTATATGTAAAATTAGATTTTTCTTTCTGTTCTTATTATTATTTCAGATTTTTGTTATTTACCATATGCTGCTGGTTGGGGTAGAGTTGCTGCACCAAGATTCTTTTATGATCCAAATATAAATGATTGTCAAATGTTTTTATGGGGGGCAATGGAAATGGGTTCAAACGATAATCGTTTTGAAACATACGAAGAATGTGAAGCGGTATGCATAAATGCATAACCATTATAAATATTATTAAAAACCACTGCTAATACGAAAAATTGTGATTTACTTTATTTTAATTATGTAAATTATCTATATATATATAAATATAACATAAAATACAAATTTTATTTTAAATATTTTTTAAATTAAATTGAAAATTATTTAGAAATTTATAGTATATGTATGTAATGTACAAATAAGGTATAACAGAAATATGTCGTGCCATGGAAATCGTACCATATTATAAGAACACACGCGTAAATGCTTAATCATTAAACCAAAATTTTAAAAACTAAAAAGAAAATAGTTTAAAAAAATATTTAAAAAAAATACTCTAAATATACTAGAATTAAATTAACAGTAAATAAAATTGAACAAATTTAAATAGTCTGTTCTATAAAAGTAGCAGAAGAATAATAGTTATCATCTTTGAAAAACGTAAATACTTAAATGCGAAGGCAGAAAAAAAATTATTAATATCAACAATATAATCCAGATTAACAAAATGTCCACGCGCACAATTAGGTATTAACTTGAATTTGACGCAATATAACGTTATATGAAGGCTATAAAATATGAGGTTATGTTTGCAGTTTAAGACTAAATTAATGTATAAATTCACAAATATACTTGATATTTGATAATATGAATCTAAAGGACGACTCAAATATTAGAATATCATTATACCTTAATTAAATATAAATGCTTGTAACATACTAAGTTTGATATTATAATTTTTTTGTATATTATATTGATTATACAAAGTCTAATTTTAATAAAAAATCGTGGAATAATAAATAGCAAATAAAACTGCAGTAAATTAGAACATTTGAGCTAATCAATGCACTAATTAATAATAGGCCAGTAGTGAATTATATCATTTGCAAAATGTTTTGCTATATCAGTGTGATATAGAAAGAAGAAGGTATATATTAGTTATTGTGAGTAACATTAAAAAAAATGAACGTGTATTAGTCATTATATAAAGAATAAAAAGTATCTGATATGATCAGCAGATCAGCACATAACCGATCGTATGGTATGGTCTAATTCAGCGAAAATGTATACAAGATTATGAAAATGAGTTATAAAAAGGTAAAGTCCGTCAATTAGTTCTAGTAGCGAAAACACAACTCAAATGTTAAATTTTACGAAATCCGTCATTTCACTGATATTCCGATTTGTTACCGAGCCTTGATATTCCAAAAAATGATTTCGCATTTATAAGTTTTTTATAATTGTTTTAACACAAGAAAATTTAAATTGTAATTACTGTGCATGTATGAACGAAAATGTAAAAATGGCCCATGGTGAATGATTAGTTCCTAAAACCTGACATATCCTAGAGGTTGATAAAATCATATCACCTCTGAAATAAATTAAAACATAAATTTTCGGGAAAATCGATTCAGCCGAACATGAACGTGAAATTGAATACAGATCTTTACACACAAATCGGCAAACAGACATTCCAAAAAAAAAGTTTATTCACACATCCCTACCACGGTGAAGTGCATTTTCACTTTAAGCCCGACTTGCTTAATTTATAGTGCCATTTTACTAACACAGCCTCCCTCATTGTATACAATATGCGTTCTGCAATAACGCGTTATTCATATTTATTCAATCACATGCATCCAATGCTGGCCATACATCTTCTCTGCGTATGTTCGCGTACTAAGTTCTAAGCAAATTTAGAACATCGCTTACGCTCATTATGGTTCTAACTGAAATTATGTTGACTTTTTAGAAAAGCGTTAAGTTCCTGAATATTTACACTCGCCAAGCTTGTAATTTTCAAAAATAAGTAAGTATATTGCAAGAAATTTCCACCTTCCGCCCGTCAGAATTAGATCACATTTTATATTTATGATATCAATTAGAATAAGCGACATTTTAAACACAAAAAGTCAAATTTTTTGCTATACTTATAAAGATAAAATCGAAAATAATTTGATATGTTCGTATACACAAGAAAAATTTCAATTGACGTCTTTTCTTTACAGTATTACAAAATTATTCTAAATATTTACACTGTTTCGAACATGTAATTGACAATTATTCATTATATAATTCATAATCTGGCACTCTGCTATATGTATGCATGTATGTAAATCTAAACAAATTCCTAACTCAATATCTATACGTAAACCGATATTTACATCGATTTTTTCCTCTAAACAATGTATGTACATTCATATATAGTATATAATGCTATATTTTTAATAAAACTTAATATGTAAGTATATATATGTATACATATAGGTACATGCAATAATAATATCTTGATTTAAAAACTTAATAAAAAACAAACGTCAGTTACGATAATAGTATAATATGTAGAATAATTTTGTCAGGTAACCGTCAATCAAAAAAATATACCATTCGTTTTTAATGTAAACATACGAAATATGTTTTAATATGTTATATAAACAAATAATATTCTTAATATATACAAGTATATATGTTTGTAAGAATGTATTATTATTATTATTTATTTACTAAATTTATCTTAATAATAAATTTTTTAAACGATTCATATGTATACAAATTAAATGTTAATACTAATATATTTACATGGATTTAAATAATATTTCGTAGAAATAATATTAAAGAGCTAAAGCTCTTCCTTAAATAAAACTTAATTATTTCTCTATAATAACTTATATTATAATGTGAGCATATGTATATATATGTATATGTACAGATAAAGATATATCATAATTTATCTTAAGAAAATTTTCTCGTCTTAATATTAAATTGCCAATTATCCATAAATAAATTTTTAATTCTAAACTTAATAATAAAATTTAGAATTTTTCATTATGTATGTAGTAATGATAAATAAACAGTCATCTCCCGATATATATGCTCAAATGCGTTTCGGTATTTAAAGTACATTCAAAAGTGTTTGACCGAAAATCGGTTAATTGTGTTTTTCTTTTTATTACGATAAAATTTTAGTACCCCAAATCAAAAATTGTACATGTAATCCCAGTTAATTAATAAACTAAATAAAACATATTTTTTTAATTTGGGAATTGTTTTCCTTTATTTTGGTGGAAAAATATAGATGCCCCTGATTATAAATTTTTTATATTGTGAATAATTTAATTTCGGCTAGATATTTAATTCATGCACTTCCAGAAGTCCTTGAGAACAAAGTTATGTTGCATGATTAATTGTTTCATCTCAGAGTCTACATTTAATAAAACTAAAATATTTTTAATGTTTTTCACTTAATCGCGTCAATCGTGTACTTAAGCGGGATATTTAGCAGTGAGTTTTCCCTTTCATTGCTTTAAAATTTTAAGAAATTGAACGATGAGTATATATACGCATATTCTAATATCAATACATATTTAATAATACACATATATACTCGTACTGTACAATTAAAAAAACTCAACTTTTATAAATGAAAAGTTTACAAAAATTTCTTCGTTGATAAAAACTATTAATAGGAAAAAAAAAATTTTTTTTTTTCTATATAGAAATGGAATTTACTCAACCCCATATTAAGTGATAAGAATTTTTGCAGCACAGCTACTTTATAAATTCATACATCATTTTTTTTTTTTTGGAGAAAATAATCGTTTACACCATAAAGAGGTTTCACAGGAAATGCAATCATATTTTCATAAATTAAAGTGATTTGATGTTAAATATATTATAGAAATTAAAAATGCTTTATTAAGAATTGCCAAAATTTATATTATACAATTTTTATATTTTATTTTAAAGTAAATTTTGAATTTTTGATTTATTATTAACAAATATTTATATTTAATTAATTTTTTTAATACAAAAACAATACTAATGATAATATAACCGCTAATCAATCTCGTTAACCCTATGTGACGGACAAATAGAAGTAACCCCCCCCATCTACAACATATAAACTCTTATCTTACTTTTCTTAAAGTGCATGGTCAATAATATAAATTCAATATTTGATACAAAATAATGGAAAATATAGCTAAATTAGAATTGGAAAGCCAAATTCCCCCAATTCCCTAATATTAACAGAATTTTGTATAAGTAAATAAAATTTATAATGAATTTATGTTATTGTTCCAATAATTAAAGGTATTTCATAAAATATTTATAAATTTTAACAGCCTGACAGACAAACATTACATACAATATATATATACAATTTATAATTATTAAAAATTTCATGGAAGAAAAAAATCCCCTTAAAAAAGCTTCGTACAATTTTTTTTTTTGTTAAACGTACTTATACTGCTTCTCTTTGATTAAGAGAAATAATTAGCATACAATGAAAATAGAGTACATATATATATATATATATATATATATATATATCACAGAAATCTCCATAAAATGTACATTGTATATAAAAAGTAAGTTATATTTTTTTTTGTATCTTTGTGATATAAAAACTAAAATATTTTTAAAATTTTAATTTAGTAAAACAATTGCATTTGATTACTCTATACAATAATTTTAAGAAATTCTTAAAAGTGTAATAATGAAACTAATTTTAGCATTATTTTTAATTATTTTTATTTCATTTGCGTATGCCGATATTCCAAGTGAGTTTTATTTAAAATTATTTTTAAAAGATTTTGAAAAAAAATAAAAACTATATTGCTTTTGTGGTTGAGTTAAAATTGAAAATATTTCTATATACTATAGAATTATTTTTGTTTCTTATATATGTATGCATGTATTTTCAAAAATATATATATACATATATCATAAAATTTGAAAAATATAAGTATGTATGTACATATGTATTACAAACTACATTACAAATATTGCGAATGTGGGAATTTAAGGACACGTAATTCGAGTCGATGGCTTTATTCGCTCAAATAGTATAGAACTGATAACGCAAATATACGAGTACTATAATAAAAAAATTGCGTACTATATGTACACTACATACTTAATGTCAAAAATTTGTTTCGAAGATATGACCTCAATTTATACTTAGTGCCAAAGGGAACTTGCCTTTTTTATTTGTATTTTCTAATCGTAAAAAAAAAGAATAAAATACATAAATAATTTTTTAATATAAGAAATCAAAATTTTTAATAATTATACGAGTATTATGTTTTTTTTTTCTTCAAGCACGTTGCCTTCTACCATTTACATCAGGATTTGGTAGAGCTGGAATACCAAAAGTATATTTTAATTCAGCATCAAGAGAATGTGAAGATTTTATATGGGGTGGCTTAGAACGTGGTTCAAATGATAATCGTTTCGATACTATCGAAGAATGTGAATCCTTTTGTAAATAATATAAAACGAATTCATATATTATATATATATACATATGTATATAATAAAATTCTGTATATAATATATAGACTAAAAATATAAACTATGATAAATTATAATAACAAATGAATTGTGTGTATTAAAAATAACTCATTTTTAATTTTATTATCCAAGAGTCAAAATTAATTTGTAAATATAAAAATTTACATGAAGAATTAAAAATTTTAAATAAATGAAAAATTATATTTTAAAATAAATTTTATAGAATTATTATAATTAAAATTAATAAATCTTAATTATATATAATTTATTATAAATTATAATATTTTACTGGTTCCAATCTGACACCTTGGCTCACCAAAATATTTATAACAAAAGAGTGGCAAAAAATATTTAAGCTAATCAGAAGCAAAAATTATTTATACGTTATAAGTATGCATATGTATGTATGTACATATGTATGTATAAATATTTATTCACGAATACTGTAAATGTCTAGAAATACCTATGGCTATAGCCAATAAAGCAATTGTTATACTGTTTTAAATGATACAATAAGGTACACATAAATAATATGTGTATAATTGAAATTAATATTGACTTTAGCATGACAGTTATCTTCTACATAGTAAGTATAGTATGTATAGAAATCTCTTCTTTATTTTTAGAAATTTTTTATAAAAAGAAAAAATTAAAATCTTAAAAAAAGTGATGACCTTCAAAGAAAGTAAAAAACTAAAATAATCTTGATAAATTAAATGTTTATTATTGTTTATTTATTTTTTTTTAATCTTATATACACAACCATAATGTAGATTTATAAAATTTAATAGAATGGTTCTTAAACGTTAAGTTGAGCCATCTTAATTAAAACATATGTTCATTTATAAATTTCATATTTCAATTTAAGTATGAACAGATATTTTAATAATTAAAACCTTCTGGTTCAATATTGCTTTATAATCATATAGGCTTCAATCGAAAACAGTTTTTTATACCATTTTGTAATACAAAAATATTTTACCTTTATTTTATAGGTGTCATATAAGACATTCGTTAATACGTCAAGAAGACAACTCAAAGATATGATAATTTGACATAATATTCTTATGTCATTTATTAATTACTTATTAATTACGAAATTTGACTTATTAATTAAGAAATTTGTGTCTTCTATGTAAAATTTTTTTATATGTATGTAATTTACACTTGAATTTCTTTCTGAGTCTCCAAAGAACAACGCAACTGATCAGCAATTTTATTGACAAAAAATTTTATAATTTTGCTTTTTCAAAATTCATTAGTTTTATTTTAATAACAGAATTCGTAAATATCATCAACTCTTCAAAAAATGAAGGCAAAAAAAAAAAAACGAAAAAAAAATTTAAAGATCAAAGATCCTGAACCTATCAGATTAGTTTAAAAAGTTTTTTTTTCTATTTGAGAAAAAGAAAAAACGAGAATTACTAAATAGAAAAAAAAATAAAACGAGTTGGACAGTTACTCCAATGTCTGGTATAAATTGAACAAAATAGCAAATGTTATATTTAGTATAAAAATAATTTTTGATTCTAATTATTCTTATATTTTAAAATTAATACACAATATTTAAAGACAAAATGAAATTCATTTTTAGTTTGATATTATTAGTACTTAGTATTCTTTTGATTACTGTAAATGCTAATCCACCAGGTAAGCTGTACTCATATAAAAAATTTTTTAAAAACAGTCACAATTTTTTTCTTTCAAATTTATGTATGCATATAAATGTATACATTAAATTTGCAATATACATACGCATACATACATATACGTATTTAAATTAAATATTCTTCATATTTTACAGAACACTGTTTAAAAGATTATAATCCTGGTGCTGGTAGAGCTGGTATATTTAAATTCTATTATAATTCAAAGAAAAATGAATGTGAACCATTCCTTTGGGGTGGTATAGATGATGGCGGAAAAGAAAATAGATTTGATACACATGAACAATGTGAAGCTGAATGCAAAGATAAATAATAGAATAAAATAATAATATTATTGAAATAAAAGTAAAAATCACATAAAAGATCTTGTAATAAATTCATTTAAAAAATTATATATACATACAAATATATATCTGTTGTTTTACACATACATACACATGTATATTATGTATTAATATAATAAATTTTTGACAGCATATATAAAATGACATTAAAAATGTAATTGTAATTGCTTTGACATTAGATGACATTCTATCTCATATTGATTATAATTTTATTTTCCGGATTTGTTTATTGCTTTTTTCTCTTTCGAATTAAATTTTTGAAAGAGTAATTGCAACATTTTAACACCTTGGGCTTCTTCCGACGCTCACATTTAAAAGTCATAAAAAAGTAGCTCAGAATGATGCTCATATTTAGTGTCACGTTTCTTGGCTTCGGTTTTAAAATTTACATAATTATTTGGAAGAAATATTAGAACATTAAAAATTAATATGTACCATTTAAAACAAAATATCAACAAAAAAAAAGGTAATAAAATTTTATTAATAATTTCCTTAATAAAAGCTTTGAGTTATCAGCACTTAATATAATTCAAAAAGTTTCTAAAAATTTAAAAATGAAAAAAACAAAAAAAATAGGAAAACAAACACCACTTTAATCGCACTCTTCAAAAGCAACCGTAATCACCAAATGTCTAATGTAAAACTAAATCTCTATATGGTAACAATCTTCAATATTTTTTTTATGGTAACACAGATTTGAAACCGCTTATTGCTATAATAAAACTAATATTGAAAATGCAAATTAATTGCAAATAGTTGTTTTTTTTTCATAAATATTTTCTCTTAAGGATTTTTAATCAATAAAATAAATTTGACAAAGCTATTATGCAATTTAAATATACTTAAAATAAATATTTTTAATATTGAATCGTAGGTGTTTATTTTTTTCCAAAAAAAAACTTTGAAATTCGTTTTTTATTTTCTAATTGCGGTCAGGTCCGTTTGTTTGTCTGGCTGTCTGCCTAATCATACCTATTATATGCTACAATTTTAGAAAAGTTCGTAAACTACATTTAAGTTTACTAAATTTAATATTACTCCCACCAAAAATTTTTATAAATTCCACGATTTTTAGTGAAATACTAAAAAATAATTTCATTACATAATGCACAGGTATGTATAGCACGCCAAAATTTCAATTTAAAACTGACTGAACTGAATGTCAATTTAAAAACTATTTTCAAATACTTCAAAATTCTACTGAAGAATGAAATCCAGCATTAGCTATAATTTTAGACTGTCTATTTGTGTTGTAAAAGATGCTAACATTTATGTACAATAGCATACTTCGTGTCACCGTCAATAAATCTTATTTATTCATAAAAGTTCAACTTACAAAATTCCTTTATCTTGATAAAATTAATTAGAAAAGGTGCTCTTTTGTAAAACGTTGAATTAATCGAAAATTTATTATTGTTTCTGCATAAAAAAAAACTTTGTTAATTTTATAAATAAATAAAAAAATATGTACATTATAGATCAAAGGTTCTGAACCCAACCGATTAGTTTTTCAAAGATTTTTTTTCCCACTATTTGTAATATACTTGGAAAAAAGCAAAACTAGAATTTCTAGTTAAATAAATATTTCAAAGCCAGGATGGTATAAATTGAACAAAATTTCTACTAATAAATTTAGTATGAAATTATAATTTGATTTCAATTGTATTGTCAATTTAAATAAAAAATATTTAAAAATGAAGTTAATTTTCTCTTTAATGGTATTATTACTTAGTGTTGTATTAATAAGTGCAGATCCTCCAGGTATGACATAAAACTAAAAAGATTGCTTAAATTTTTCTTAAAATTTTATTATATAAAATTAAATTTTATTAATTATTTAAATTTTAATAAAAATTTTTTAGAAAATTGTTTGTTAGAACATACTGTTGGTTATGGAAGAGCTAGTATACCTAGATTCTATTATAGTGCCGAGAAACAAGATTGTATATCTTTTAAATGGGGTGGTGCTGAAAACGGTTCAAATGGCAATAGATTTGAAACTTATGACAAATGTATAGCTGAATGTAAAGTTTAATAATATGTTATGACAAACAAGTGTTATGATATATGGTTTACAAAGGATATACGAAACAAATTGAATTTTTTATCATTGTGAATATGAAATAAATAATTTTGTTGTTATTGATTAAAAAAAGAAATTTCAATAAAATATTACATTCCATTTAATATTAATAAATAAGAATACTTTTTTTATTTAATTAAAAAAGTACATAAATTTTTACATATATCAGACTCAAATGAGCCCCAAAATTCAATCATGTTAAAGCACAGAACGGCCCCCTTCTTGGGGAAGAGCTCAAGGCCCGACACTTACAACGTTAAATTCCAAGTCATTAATTCGACACCACCTACTAAAACTGTCCAAATCCCTCTGTAACATCAAACAATCTATCATATATTTTGACAGAAGGTCCGATAACTTAAGGCAATAAAAAGAAATACGTTTACAACAAACAACACAACCGTTTTATGTCTAATTATTATTAGACCTACATTGAACTAGAAATAAAACAACTTATTTCTAATTTGTTCCAGTGTAACATTAAATTTAAATTACCGTTAAGTATGAAATTTTTAATTACTTTTATGCATAAAATATTTTTTTCAAAAATTTTTATAAGATATTTTAAATTTATTAAAATTTAAAATTTTATTTCAGTATTATACTAACACTATAGTAATAAATAAACTGTTTAAACAAAAAAAAAATCATTAAAGAACGCATATAGACAGTTGCAATGGCAGGAGTTAAATTGACATTAATTACTTTCATTTTTATATTTGGTGCCTTTTGTATATTTAATAATTTAGCAGCTAAAAAAAAATTTGTTATAAAGGATGGTATGTATAATTAATGTAAATTAATATAAATATGTATAACAATATTCAAATGTAAAGTGATGTAAAATTTATTATGTTAAAAGAATTATTTTAAATATTTTTATATTTTTATTTTAGGAAGATGTAAGAAACCATTACCTGGACCACCAGGATATTTTACAATTGTACAAGTACGATGGTTTTATAATATAACAAGTGACAAATGTTCTAAATATATTGCATTTGGTACCGATGACGAATGCGAAAAAATAGTACAAAATAGATTTATTACAAAAATTGGTTGCGAAATAGCATGCAAAGGTATATACCCCTATGGTTTGAATGCATATCCTTGAACAACAATAATGAAAGAATAATAAAGCTAAATTTTAGCATATGTTATAATTTATGAAAATCAAATAAAATTAAAAAAAAAAAACAAATTTAGTGTCTTTTAGTTTTTAATTTTGTATAATAGCTCCATATATTTGAATGTAAACTTACATTTTATATTTAAGAATGTTTTGCATTTTATATTTAAGAATTAAAATCAAATGAAAGGAAACGTACATAGGTCTTGTTCTGAAATTAGCACTATTACAATTTGTAAAATTTACAAAAAAAAATAAGTTTTTGAAAAATTTAAACAAATATTTGAAATAATTTCTGACTGGCTAGAGAGAAGACTAGGATTATAACTTTTATTCAAATTTATCACAATTAATCATGCGTTAACTCAAAAAGTAGAAATACATATTATGTATGTATAGGGGGTTAATCCGGCATGTGTGGTCTATTAAGATTGGAAAGTATATTAGATTATTTTTATATGTTTTTCATTAAGTAATTCACCTCAATAACTTCAATTGAGAGCATATTATGGTTGTAGTTTTTAAAATCAGTCATGTTTTAATGTCAATTAATCAAATTAAAATAACTTCATTAAAAATAGAACCCAAGTATACATAAATTTGAATGTGAAAATCTTGAAGAAATTCAGTTTAAAATCCCTAGAATTCTAACAAAATTCAGTACTACTTCAACTTTTGTAAAATTCACAATTTATTGGTTGTATATAGCGCATGACTTTTTGGTATATATAAATTAACCATAAAATTTTCTTTTTAATGGCATTATTGTTGAACTCATGCCTTTATGGTAAATATAAAATTAGCATACAATGATTGGTTCATAAATTTTTATGTTTTTTTTTTATGCAATTTGCAACTACTCTATTAAATGTTCCTATAATAAATATTTTTATAATAGTATGCATAAAATATTTAACTATATTAGAACAAAAATAGTGCTAATAAATTTAAATAAATAAATTAAAACGAAGGATACAGGAGCAAAAATGAAGTTTGCCTCTTTTTTAATACTTTTCGTTTTGTTTACAATCACTTATTGTAGAATGATTAATGGTAATGCAATTAAGTTTAAATTAATTAGAAAAAAAATTGTTTCCTAATTATAAAATTTTTCTTTTAGAACGATGCCGAAAACATGTACTTAAAGTCAATAGTGGAATGACAAGAGATGTTATTTTAACAAGATATTTTTATAATATTGATGAAGATGAATGTCAACTTTATGCTGCTCCTGCTATAGTTTTTATGGGAAATGAAAATAGTTTTCCTACTAAATACGATTGCCTTAAATTATGTAAACCACCAGAAAATTATTTAAATATGCAAATTTGAATTGAATTTTAATATTGTATAATTGTATGAAATGGTTTTGATTTGAATAAATATTATTTGCAATATAATTATGATATGTAATTTATTTAATCGATTTGAAAATTGTTATTCATATAAAATTATTAAAATTATTTGCATCTGTTACAAAATGTGACCTGACCAATGAAATTTAAGTTTCATTGTAAATCTTATCAATATTTAATTTGAAGAAAAAATGTATAGCATATTGCTCTACTTATCATTTTAATCTTCTCTGAATTCCAAAATTCAGTGTAAAAATTATTTTATAAGCGCTAATTAATAGACTATGAAATAATACTGCAATATAGATATCAGGGTTTTGTAAATCTTGAGATTTTCAACAATTCAGACTACATACATATTATACTACTACATACTATATACTGTAATACTAACAGTTCTACATTGGATTTTAGAATTCTTTTTTGCTATAATTAAAATAATGTAAAAAAACCGAATATATAGTTTACTTTTGCAGATTAGTAATGTCTTCAATATTCGATATTTTTCTATATATGTACAAACATAATGATATTTTCCAAAACAATTTTGCAGCACTTGAAAAAAAATCTTGGAAATGTTTAGAACTTCCAAAAGTAACAGTAAATTTAAATTGTTTTTTAGCAAATATTTTTCAAACATCTTACTTTTGCTAGTTTCGAAGTTTTTATTAGTCAAATCAACATTTTTTTAGATCAAAATTAGAATTGAAGTCAAAAAAGTTCTCTTTTACTATTCTGTTTTATAGAAAAAATTTTTTATTGCCTACAACTATCATTTGGCTGTATTCAAAAAATATGGTAAAAAGCCAGAGAAAATATAAGCACACTAAAAAAAGACCAAAATCCATTTGTTTGAAAATTTCAAGTTAAAATTCGTGCTCTTGGTAGAACAAAATAATTAAAGATAAGAATTATTAAAAGATTTTGTAAAACCCTATATGTTTGCAAACTACTAATATGTTAATATTTACTACAAATGTAATAAAATGCTCCATTTGATCTTTACTGCATGAAAAATGAAGTTAACTACCACTTACTATTAAATATAAAATTTCTTCCATAAATTCACTTTTTAATAACCGTGAAATGAACTTGCAAAATGTAAAACTCTTACATACAAACTTATATATTTATATACTTTTATCGATCTTAAATATTCTGAAATTGAAATATTTTTGTTTATTATTGATTTTAAAATTATTTAATACAGATACCTACAGAATTAAAACTTAAAAAAAATAAAAATGAAATTTGTTTTACTTTTAGTTTTTGTAATTTGTAATAATTTCGAAGGACTTACTGCAAGAAGAGACCGTAGGTCATTTCGTACATACATAATATTAAAAAATATTTTATTTAAAAATTATATAAAATTTATTTTATATAATTTTTAAATAAAATAAAATTTATTTTTATAACATTAAAAAAAAAAAAAACTTTTTCCATTATAGCCCGTTGCGCTAAACCACCTCCCAAAGCTGACGACTGGTTTTACATTGTTTATGTAAGATTCTTTTACAATAGCACATCAAATACATGTAATCAATTCATAGCTACTGGATCCGATTATCAATGTGACAAAGCTTTACAAAACCGTTTTAGATCGGCATATGAATGTGCAAAAGTATGTTGTCAACGTTCTTAAATTATAGAACAATGTTCAAGTTTTTTTAACAAGAGAAAAATGTTTTTGAATATTATTTTTTTAAAATTTATTATATAATTTAAAGTAAATAAAATTGTAATAAACTATATTTAAAATGGATTTTGAGTAATTTAAATAAGTTTGTAATTTCTATAAATCCATAATTGTATGCATGTAGGTCCTTATTTTGTAAAGATAGAATTGACTAACATTTTATATTTAGAATTTTAAAGAACATTTTAAATTCTATTGCTCTTCTCTTAAGGTTTCATTTATAATTATATAATTTTTGCATAAAAGATGATTTCTAAACAATCTTTATTCATTTCTCTAAAAAATCACTAAGATTCTTATTTCATCTTTATTTTATTCCAAATTTATATATATTTCAAAAAAATATATTTTTGTTTTTTTAATTTGAAATAAATCAAGATTAATATTATAAAAGAAATTAAGTATATTTAATATAAATTACTAATAACAAAAAGTCAATCACATCAAAACCAATATTTCTATAAAAATTTTATATTATCCATTTTATTACAATAATTCCGCCATAGTTACATCTTTTCGTACAGCATTATTGAATCCTTCCTTATAACGGTACCAAATTGGACTTTTGACAATAGGATCAGAAATTCCTAAAATAATTGAAATTTATTTAAAATTAAATATATCAAAATTTTTTTTTAAATTAAACAAAAATTGTGTTATATTACAATATATTATGGACTGCTATAGCCAACTTACTTTCATCAGTGGTAGCAGAATCCGATTTTGTACATATTCTTCCAAAGAAATCCTTAGAGATCTGAAAATAAAAATAAAAAAAATATAACAATAGGTTTTGAAAAATAAATTGATAAGAAAATGAGATATTCAGATATTTAAAGAGGGAAAAGTTATAAGACTCAATCAACGATGCTTAAACAAATTTTTTTATTTTGAAATGTTGTGAGAAAAATGTTATAATTTTTATACAAAACCTACATTTGAAGAAAATTCTAAATATAAATTAAATTTTTGTTAATATTTTAATAGAAGAATTTCAATAATAAAAATGGATAATAAATGGAATTTGAAATTTCTAAATCTATTCAAAAGGCAAAAAATTTTTTATACATATTTATATACAATGCATGTATACTGCTATACTTCTGTAATGATTAGGTATAATGACGAAAAATGATTCTACTTCAACATTTTATACACATGCTCATAAATTTTTTTTGTATAAATACATATACAAAATGTTATATTAAAAATCATACCTTATAAATGTATGCATACATATATATATGTTCGTAAAATCTATCTATACTAATAAAAACTTGAATTGAAAAACAAAAGGATTTATTTTCAATTTAACTTTTTAATTATGTTTGTTGAGAAATTTCTATCCAACTGTTATATTGAAAGGAAAAAAAAATCTTTTATTCACTATAGGATGAAATGAAGGATAACGTATGCTTTTACCTTAACTAATAGTGTATAAATTCAATAATCCTATATCTAGATTTATTATTATAATTTAATATCATCAAATATTTATTCAAATTTATTAAAAATTAGCATTTTAATTTTAGTTATTAAATTATTTGAATGCATTATAAATCGATTTTTGTTCATACATTAACAATTATTTTAAAATTTCAATCTTATTTTAAGGCAATTTTTTGATTAAGTCCTCAGCAAGTGTAATTTGAAATTTTTATATGTAATACTGATAGGAATCTGTATTCTATGTACGAATAATACATTAGAGAGAATTCCAACAAATATTGTCGTGGAATATACTACCTAAACATGTTTGTTTAATATAATGTACCTTAATTTTTAAATTTCTTATCAGAGAAATATTCAATTTATTATAAGAGAATCAGATTATAAAGTAAAAATTTTATGACTTTTAATATTTTACATAAGAAAATTTCAACTAACTTACAGTAAACATTATAAAAATTACATTTTCATTTTTATTTTACACAGTTCGTGAGAACGTACTGTTCAGAGGTGTTTTCATACAACACGTACAAAAGGAAAAATTACATATTTTTTCTTCCTTTGTTTTTGGTTTTTTTTTTTAATAAATCCCCATTTTTTTAAATCCCATTTTGACTTTTGAAGGATTATGGTATTTACTTTATTTTCCTTTTTCTATTATTTTCATCCATATTAAAACAAGTATGTTGGTAGATGGCTGACACTAAAAATAATTTCAATATTATTCTGTTAGTATAAACTTAACAAGACAATATTTGATTTCGTTTTTATGGGATCAATGGAATATATTATAGGATTTTGTTGGATTTTCACTCTATTTCATATTATAAATTAATAGCATTTCACTTTATAAATAAAATAAATCAATTACATTTCTTTTATATTGTATCCAGAATAGGAAAAAAAAAAACAATCTACATTATATTCAGTTGGCTATTTTAATATTTTTAAAAATTATTAAAAAAAAAATTCTGCTTTTTAAAATATATGTATAAAATTATTTTTTTTTTTAATAAATAATTATTTAGATCAGCTTTGTATGAGCTTTAATAGCTTTATATAAGCTTTATCATAATATGTGGTGGTATGAAATAAGAGTATTGGAATAATATTTCAATATTGAAAAAATTGTATGGTTTTGATAACATTATTATCTTAGTAACTGTTGTCGTATACGTAGACAAAATCTACGGTTTAATCAAAATCTAATTAAAGTCGTATATACAAAAACCAAAACCATCATCTGTTTTGTCTGATTACATTTTGTCTGACGGAATTAAAAAGATTTTTTAAAAATAAAATGGTGACCAACTAATTTTTATTTTGGTCATAATTTTCGTAGCAAATAATTACGAAATTTTGAAATTAAGTCACATACTATAACAGATAATATTGTCTTAGATCTTATCTTAAAAAATTATATAATATTATTAGTATACAATTGTAATCATTAAATAATTTAAAATTAAACATAAAAATTTTGTCACAAAACCTTGAAACATTACACTTATCTAAAAATTTTAAGTAATATCCTATACCTAGTTTTACAAAATTTATATTAAATTTGATATGTTCCTTATAATACAGCATACTACAAATATTTTGTACATTATTTTATTTTTAATGAAATTGTATCCGAAATTATTACTACTAAAACTAATCTAAAGCAATTTATTTGTACCGCACAATTTAAGACCATTATCGTATAAATGTATTTTTTTTTTTCCTCCTTTATTATATTGTTATTATTATATTTTCCCTTTCCTTAAAAAAAAAATACTTTATAAATATTACTTAAAAACAATATATATATATATATATATATATACACATAAAGGCATAATGAAATGTTTCCGTTTTCATTTCTCTTATTTAGTATATAACCAGTAAGATTACTTGTTTATTCTACTTCTATTCCATAATAAATAGCTATATTAATATATTTTAACACTATTATTATATAAATATTATATAGTATATATATATATATGAATATGAAATGTAACATTTATATTATATTCTTGTAATAAAATAGAATCGTTTTTATTTTATTATATTACATTTTTATTTGAAATTCAGAAATGTTGTTACTATAATAGTATTTAATATACATGCATAGATAAAATAGAAAGTGTGAGAAAATTATCCTTATAAAAGGACACAATATAGAAAAAAAAAAGTAAGTAAAAAATTCAAAAAAGAAATTAATGATTTTTGGCATAAAAATTGACTCTACTTGGAAATATTTTTTTACTAAAATAAAAAGAATTACTTTTTTGACAGTGAATTCAGTTGAATATGATTTTATATCTATTTATTTTATTAAATGATATTGTTATTTGAAAAAACATAAAATATTAAAATTAAAAACTATTTGTACTGAATAATGGCAATTCTAATAAGTTAAAATAGAAATTCTAATATGTCTCGAACAATATTCCAATTCGGTGTTCATCTAATTATATATTTATGTATAAATGAATCTAATTCAAAAATTTTTCAATTAAAATGAAATAATGCTTAAATAAAAAATATATTTGAATAATTTAAAATTTTAATTGAACTATATAAAATTTTAATATTATTCGTACAACACCTTAATGTGTTCAACACTTTAAAAAAACTAATTTTATTAACTTTGAGTTTTCGGAGGATATGAGAAGCAAAATAATACAATATATTATATATATATGTATACGAATATTTCATATTATATAGTAACTATAAAAAATAATCGTAATTTTATGAATAAATTTTTACTATAAGATGGTAGTAAAAAGTTTTTTTTTTTTATCAAAATTCTTATAATACAAAAACTTTGATTTCAATATTACAATTTCCTATTTATTTTAAAAGATTTCTTCTAAAAAAAACTTTTCTAATAAATAAGTTCAATCAAATTTGAAATTGAAATTTATTGTTTTTATATGCAATTTTCAAACAAAAAAGTTTTTGATTGAAAAATAATTTAAACAATAAATAAATAAAATTTTCTTCCTTATTATTAAGAAAGAAATTTGGGGTTTAAAGTTTCTATATATGTACATATGTATAGGTATACATATTTTGTAAATAATAATATTTACATATTAATATATAAAAAAAAATCTTATATTTACCGTTTCTTTCTGATTTTTTTTACTTTGTCTAATTTTCGGTTTCAAACATTGCAAATAATTTGGTAAATTCTCTTGTGGTGGTGATTTTTCTTGCATATTTTTTGAATTTGATTTGAATGCTATTTTCTTACTGTTATTTTTATCGTTATTATTATTAATTATTTTTGGTGCTGATCTTCTCATTTTCTCTAATTCAACTTCACGCGCTATCAACTGACGACCAAAATAACTTAATGATATTCCTTTAAAATCTGCATTACATTTAAAAAGCAATTTGAAATAATATTTGAAAAAAAAAAAAACCAAATTATAAATTATTTTAATGTAAGTCACCTGGAAATTTAATAAGCATATCAATATCTGGTTCCAAACAATATTGATATGTTCCATCAATAGCTTTAGTTTGGGTAAAAACTAAACCTAAATCTACCATTATCCCAACAGTTGAAGAAAGTTCATGACGTTCTCTATTTTATTATAATTATAAAAAAAAAAATTAAATTTAAAAATTAAGTTTTTATTAGTTAAAAAAAAACATTTTGATGAATGTTCAATATACATATATTTAATTTAAAACAATAATACTTATATACTTTGTTGTTAAAAGTTGTGAAGAAACTGAACGTAAATTTGGTGATAATATAGATTTTAAGAATGGTAAAGTTTCTAATAAAATAGTTGCTCCTGTACCAATACCAATTGAATTACAATTTACACCCTTTCTAAATGAAGTAAATATCATTTTATGAGTAGTAGATTTTTGATGAACCTTAAAATGAATTAAATAAAATTTAAAAAAAAAAATTAACAAAATATTTATATAACAACTAAATTGTATAAATTTATAATTAATTGAAATTTAAACATAATATTAATTATAAAACTAGAATCTGTTCTCAAATTAATTATACTCGAATAAAGTAAGTATATCTTTAAGGAATTTTTGGAAAAAGTATATTTCATTAAATAAATTCCACATTATGTGCAATTATTCAAATTTTTTACATATATATGTAGTAGTTTTTTTTAATCATGGTTTATTTTATTCACAATTCAAATAAAATTCTCTCTAAATAATAATAATTTTTTTTTATAATTTCTATTAGATATAATCATCATTATTAATAATCATGCCCTTTCTTAAATCACCTTAACCCCATCTTATTTTTTATTCTTTATAAAATTATTAAAACACATAAACAAAAAATAATACTTTCAAAGAAAAAAAAAAAAGAAAAGGAACGCTTTTCTTTGAGTAACAAAATTGCATAATGCATCCTTAATCACTTTTTCTTTAAAATTCTGATTTTTTTCTGAAATGAAATAATAAACTCAATTTGTGACCAACAAAAAGCTATATCTTTTTCTAATGAAAACTCATTTTCATAAATTATTCAAATAAAAAAATTAAAGAAACAAAATCCAATCTTATTCATTGAGGAATGCAAATGCATTCAATTGAAGAGTCAACATCAGAAGAAAGGATATATTATGAAAAGAAAAGCAAAATTTCCTTTGCTACATATATATACATATATACATACATCAGTATAAAATTTTCAATATGAATTTTATGCTTTTTAATAAAAACAATTATAAAGTATTATGTTAGAAAAAAAAAATATAATAAACTAAAGGAAATACATATATTTTTTCTCTTTTCTTATTTTTCTCTAAAGATGCACAAAAAAAGCCCAATGATTATTAAAGTATGAGATTAAAATAAAAAAAATGTATGTATTTAAATACATACTTACATACAAAAGCTTCCTCTTCTTAACATTTTTAAATGTTATCTCACTAGAACGTAATGAAATACTGCATAATTTATAAATTTTCATGAAAAATTTTCTTTTGAGGAAAATTTCGAAGCAAAAATAAATCATAATATACATAATTATCTTCATTTAAAAAAAAAAATGATCTTAAAAATTAGTATTTAACTATTTAATGAAATATTTTAAATTTGTTTTTCTTTTTTATCAGAAGAATCGAAAATTCATATAAAATTAAAAATAAAAAAAAATAAGTTTTAATTATTTATTGTATATAAATACAAATATTTATACATAAATATAAATGGTGTATAGCAGAATATTATTTTAAACAAATTAATTTTCTAATACGAAATTGATCTTTGTCAATTTTCCAGTCCATATTTTATTAAAAATGTTGGATAATAAATTATTTCTAAAGGGAACTGACCGATTAAAAAAACTATAATAGGTACATATTTCAAATTAAAATGAAATTTCCTCAAATTAGAAACGTTTCTTTAAACGATTTCACATGTTCACAATATATTAAGTAAAATATATTATGCTATTTTAAATTAAGTGTTAATTTATATTCTATTAACAAATTAAGCAATTTATGAGTTTGAACAAATTTATGAAATAAAAATTTTATAAATTTTTCTTTTTGAAATATTTTTTGTTTACCTCAAATCCTTTATTAGGAAAAGTAATTTTAGGCCACGATAAACTTGCAAATAATAAATGCCAAGTTATAAAACCAAATTGCAAATAAGGATATATTGAGTAATTTTGGAGATGATTAATTTGCGTTTGTAATAAATCTGAAAAACAAAACCAATTGGCTGCTTCTAAAACCCCATCTAAATTTGGATCCGGCATTTTTTGTAATAAATAATTTTCAAAAACACCCTGCATTAATCTTAAAATAATCGAAATATTATAAAAAAAAAAAAATGTGTAAATAAAATTTAATTTCCACCATACCTTTCATAATCTCCTGCCATATGAAGAATTTCATATATATATTTAACTCTAGTACTTAAAGACATATTTGTCATAGTGACCATTAGTTGATCATTTTCTGGTGAATTCCGCGACTCTGTATTAGCTAATTGCTTTTGAGGACGTTGAATCTAAATAATTGAAATAATAGAATAATTTATATGCTTGAATTATAGCAAATAGAAAAAAAAGAAAAAAAAAACAAAAAATTACTTACTTGAAATATTGCTGACCAAATGCCAAAGAGACCTCTGTGCCTATCTTTTTGGCCTAAATTGGCATTCAAAACATCAATTAAAGTTAAGTTCTTCTTGCTTCCACTGGAATAGCGTATATTTAAGCTATATGTGAAAGTGAAGTACAAAAAGAATTACCTATAGAACTGTAGCATTGATATACACGATCGTACATCATTACCAGATTTATCCGCTAGAGCCAACAATGTTCCCAAATCTACTTTTAAATGTTCTTTCTTACAAATATCTAGAAGTCTATATGTAATAAACATTATTATATAAATGAAAACGACATAAAAACAAAATTTACCTTTCTGCTAGCCTTGACGACTCAATTGGCGGAAAATTAACAACAAATGCTACTTGTCTTAATTGCCTTAATGCTGGAGCATACATGTCATTACATATGCAAATAATTGGTCTTTTTAATATACTTTTATGTTCTTTACCCTTTTTAGATTTAACCGTATAATTATCTGCTGTAAAACGTATTAGAAAATCTATAGATTGAGAAGGTGCTCCATCAATTTCATCTGTAAAAATACATCTCAATTTAAATTTACAAAATCATTTAATAAATCAAAATACCAAGAATTATGCAATTGGGTCTTTTGTCTTCGTTTAAAACTGAAGTCATCTGTGTGCCGTTTTCTAACGCTAAACGAAAAGCTTCCGGGCTCCGATCGTCTGATGCGTTCAACTCTCTCACACAGTATCCGGCATGACGAGCAATAGTATGAGCTAAGGTAGTTTTCCCTAAGCCTGGCGGACCACAAAGTAATGCTACCTTTTGCATTGGTCTTCCATGGCTATCCAAATTTATGTTTAAATTTTGTTTTGTTTTTCTATTCCATCCACCTGTAGATTCAAACTTTCCCGTTCTCTTATTGAAACTATTAAGTTGCTGACCCTCAAACTTTCCATTTAAAGCCTTCTTACCGAACTCTCTAAATATTAGCTAGCTTCTTATTTCTTGTAACAATATTAATTAGAAAAATTTACCTTCCAAAAACTACTTTATCCCACATCTTAAGCCAATATAAAAGACTACGATTAGTTGTTTCGTCAGATAGCAAATCTAAATATTTTTTCGGGCGGTATTTATCTACCCATAAACATTGATCATTTAATAAGGAATGCTCTGAATATTCAACGATATTTCCATTTTGTTCATTAGAACAATTTCCAGCGCTTGCAGTCATACGTTTTAATGTCTAAAAAAGCAAAATATGTGAACAACAAATAGGATTTAAATAATAAATATACCAATTCTCTGGCTATATTCCAAATTTCTTCCTTCGATTCACCTAATAAACCACGGTATCCTTTTGTAAAAACATTTATTTCGTCAATCTCCTTTGCTTCATAATCCTCAGAGTGCATTCTTACATAAATACGTTCTAAATCATTTTTTACAACGGTTATACAGGGCCAACTGAAATAATATTTAAAAACAAAATTATAATGAATTATTAAAAGCCCACCTTAAATATGTATTAATTGATTCTAATAGGAAAACGATACGTACTTTGGTATTGTATAAGACAAATTTTTCTTCTTAAATTCATGTAAAGCGTTTAGTCTATCTACGCTGTCTTTTTTCAAAGGATTTTTTATTTCTCTGCACCTTTTTCTTGCTTCCAGAATTTTAGATATCATTTCCATATCCCTTTCTTCTTCGATTTTAAATTTTTTTACCTCAGGATCCTCATATTCTTCTCGCTCAATATCATGAATATCACCAAATAAATCTTCTAAGCGACGTCTCTTTTTTAAACCAACATTTTGAATTTCCTGAAATACATCCATTGGCTCACCATTTTCCTCTTCAACAATAATTGACGTTGATGGAGCAAATTTGTCATTTTGATTTCTATGGGTTTCTGTTCTCCCAATAGGAGTGGAAGATACTCTAGCGGCTTCACAATTTATTGATGAATTAAAAAGTTTCCTATTTACATTAACTAACTTGTTAGAGTTTTTCGCACTTCCAAATGATATTTGCGAAAGTTGTGGACTCTTTAGTAAACTTTCTTGGGTTTGATTCAATTGAACTGAAGTATTAGGTGCAAAATTATTGGATTGAGGATGCTGCTGGGTTTTATCAATATTTAAGACTTCTTCATCGTGGACTAAAAATTTTGTGTGTGATTAAAAACTATTTCGACCTTTTTTTTTTTCAAAAAAAAATTTATAACAAAATTAAAAACAATTACTTTCTTCGAGTAATTCCATTTCATCTTGATACATTAATTCAAATTCTTCTTCCTCGGTAGGAAACTGATCCATTTTTTGTTTGATTTTTTTTTGGTAAATTTAAAAATATGTCAAACTACTTTTCTGTTAGTTGTACTTAATATCCCAACTACTTTTCTATTTTATTTATAAAATTTTTATTTATTTTTCATTTTTATTCAATGTTATATTTGTTTTTAAAATCAAAATACAAACGTCACTGATTAAAATGTCAAAAAAATACCGCCTTTTTTCCATACACTTAATTTGTCAGGCCCGAATATTTTACTGCGTTCACATCTTTTACAAATCTAAGTAAAAAAAATTAACAACTAAATTATAATTTACAAATATGTTTTTTAGTTATTGATAAAAGCCGAAAATAATTACAACTGCTTAAATGCGCACCTCCTTGAACGTCGTAATTATAACGTTATAAAAAAAATTGTATTTGAGCTTACTAATTATAAATAGCCAAAATTAGGGTTAGATTTCAAACCTAAAGCGTATGATAAATTCTCTGTAGTTTCTACTTAAAAAAATGATAAAAATGACTATAGATTTTAAAGAGAACTACTTTATGCAATCGTTTTAAATTTGAAAAATTAATATTTAACTTATTTCTTTTATTTACCATAATTTATCCTTTATAATATAGAATTTATAAACATATTACATTTTATTTTCTACAAAAATTAGCATTGAAATGAGAAATTGAGTTTTTAAAGGAACATTATAAGAAAGTGAAATTTATATATTTATGAACAAAGTCTGAAAAATATATGAAAATCTTGATAGTCCTAATACGCCAGATTTCGTTTTTTTCTTAACTCGAAAAAGAAATCTTTTGAAAAAAGATGGTTCTGTAATATATTATTTATATATTATAACATTATAACATACGCTTCATTCCCCTTGCACAAAAAGCTTTTGAGCAGAGCGAACGTCTATAAAAAATTATTATAAATTACTTATATAAAAAAAACTGCCGTTTTATCGTTAATATTTGGTTATAATATTTTCCGCTTGGTATTATTCATTCTCAGATGAGGTAGGAGTCAAAGTGTCACTGACATACTTAAATATGACAGTTGTCACCAATTTATAAACTATACCCATAAGGGATGTCAGTTGTCATGTGGGTTGTCATTTTAAGAAAATTTTAGTCGTGAAAATTTATTTGTGAATATTTTTATAGGAAATAAAAATTAGAATTATTTTAGTATATTTTAATATATAATGGAAAATGTTGGGGAGCCGCAATATTTGTCGGATCACGAACATGATATTAAATTAATTGAAAGGAACGAATCGCCACCTGACGACCAGAACTACGACCAAGAAAAAGAGGAAGAAAAACAAGATCAAGATCAAGACGAAGTAGATTCAAATCCTGGAGGAAAATTCTACCCAGAATATGAATGGAAAAGAATTACAGATGATTTTTTTAATGCCTGTGCCGGTAATTTTAAATATTTAATTTAGAGTTTTATTAAAACGTGATTTTTTAGAACTTTCTCTTGGTGAATTAGTTCACGATGAAGTATTTGGATTGTTTGAGGCTATGTCTGCTATTGAAATGATGGATCCGAAAATGGATGTTGGAATGGGCTTTAGTAAAAATGAACCTCCGCCACATACTTTCGAAACGGCTGTTCAAGTAAATTTTTGGAATAATTATATTCTTATTGATATTTAAAAATTTATTGAAAATAATTTAAGGCTGGTATTTTAAAGTTATCAGATCTTGATAATAGTGAGCTTATTGGGCTTTTTGACTCATTGTATGCTTGTTTGGTGGCGTGGCTAGAAGGTCATTCTTTAGATCAAATACTATTCACATGTTTATATTTGCATTCACCAGACTCAATAGAAGACAAATCATTGAAAACATTTTGTACAGCTATTAGGCGCATTGTAAATACGATTAAAGACTTCATTCTCGAAAGCAATGTTAATGAAGAAGAAGATTTTCAATTATTTAGAGCATCAAGCTATAATTTTTGTGATCACCTATCAGTCCCCAAAGTAGTTTCTATGATAAGAGAAGCTGAAGAAGAACTTGTTAAAAAATCAAAAATTGAAGCACAACCTGATGATACAATAGCCATTATTAATCGTTTAAGACTTATGCGTCATTTGTTTCAGTCATTACACTTGTTTTGGCCGAGAAGGGATGCAGCTCCAACTGAAAATGAAATAGCTGAAATACAGAGAAATTTAAGTGCAGGATTAGATTTACTTCCCTATATTAAGAAAACAGTAGACAAAGGAACACAACCGGATCCAAATTGTGAGAAAATATTTTTAAACATATATTATTTTGAATTTTCAATGTACTTTTAGCGGAGGCTCCCAATCCAATGGGATTTTCACCTAGAGTTAATCAAAGAAATTTACCTCCGACATTTCCTAGAAGTGCGGAAATTAAAGATCGTTTATCTAGTTATCAATTTCTTGAAGAATTATTTCAACGTCTAAAATTTGCGTGTAAGGTTGTTCATTTAAGAGACTACCACTCTGCTTTGGTATTTCAATTTTTAAATATCAAAAATGAAGTATGTAATAATTTTTGAATTTGCTTTTAGAATTTCTTCATAGATTTTAGTAAACGATCTGATCACTGTCTTCTTTCTCGCAGTGTTTTACAAATTTTATTTTTAAATAACAGGAAAATTTTAGGTGTAATACCATTTGAAGATTGTTTAAAAGAATCTGTAAAAAACTTTATAGCTCCACCGGTGCTTATGGCTAAAAATCCCCTTGCGCTACATCCTCAAGCAAAAAGCTGCGTTGATGCATTTTTCAGCTACTGTAATATGCATCCTTTTATGTACTTTTTGCAAATATGTGGGTATAATAGAGCGAGGCAAAGAGATAAATTAGCTAGACTTATTCAGGAAGGATTCGCCAATTTACAAGATGAAGTAAAGTTTTCCAGCTTAATTTTATTTACAAGTAAATAGAGAATTTTTTTTAGGCTGGACGAGTTGACTCTTATTTAAATGTACTTGCTACGAAAACTGAAGCTGCGGGTCAGCACATTGCATTTTTTGGTACATGGACATTATATCACTGTTTACGTGCAATGTCTTTATATTTGCTGTCAGGTTTCGAATTAGAATTATACAGTGTTCACGAATATTTGTACATTTTTTGGTAATATTCATATCAAAAATTAATTTAGACAATATTTAAACATTTTAAATTATTTCAGGTATTTATTTGAATTTCTTTTTGGTTTCATTATTTCGGCTTTAACACGTGCTGACTGTATTTTAACTGAACAAGAGCATCTTCAAGAACAATTAAATAACAAAGGGTCTAAACAGAGAAAATCAAAGCCAAAGAAAAAGAAACAGCAAAAAACTTTTAAAGTTGAAATCGATTACAATCACGCTTTGCAAAATTTATGTGGTGGTTATTACAAAGTAAGAAAAATTTATTTAACTGTATATTCCCCCATAACATTTCTCTATTTTAAGACAATGGCAGGATTTACCAAAGATGAGAGGATTCGTCATCCTATGTCCAAATTTGATAACGAATCAATTCGATTTAGTCATCGTTTTGCACCATTTGCAAATTTGACAAGTCCGCCACCAATACCCTATTGTGAATTTTACAAAATGAAAACTTGTCTTTTAAGACTAAGCTCGACCGAATTGTATAAAGCTGCCACAAATCATTTTCATCAGGCTAGAAAGTGCTTAGAATCAATTCAAAATCCGGACCAAGAAGTATTTTTATCATTTTATATATCTGCTTTATAAATTTTTTTGATATTCCTACTTTTAGATGCTTCAGTTGATACAAGTTGCAAAGGTTAATTTTGTTGTAACCAGTTTGCTTGCCAATGGACATAAAAAAGATTCTAAATCTCAACCAGACTTTGACTTTTCACATCATAGATACTTCCCAATTATCAAATTGAATTAATTTATAAAAAATTAATATTTAATTTAAAAAAGTATAGTACTAACTAAACTGAAATATATAATTTTTTGATTATAGCAATAAAAATAAAAAATAACTTATATAAAATTTCTTCTAAAATAATTGTTTGATTTTTATCATATTAATTAAATGCCTTATAATTTCATAATATGTGTAAAATTAATTACTTTTTGAAAAATGACATTATACTCTTTGTTCCAGATGCTGCTTTAGCCAATTGCTTTTCTTTCATTGTCGGTAATTTTTCCTTAACTTTCTGAGTATTCTGTTCTGGGGAGGAAATTACTACTTCCATTTTTAATTTTTTATTATTTATTTCATCATCAACTTCTTCCAGAGGCTTCCTTTTTCCACTTTGTTTTTTGGGTTCTTCTATAACTGATTTCGGTGCTGGTATAGTTACTTTCATGTAATTTGCTAGTTCTAAATGTAAATCTTCCGTTAAAAATGTTCCAATCACGCCCCATGCATATGTCAATATTTTATCTTCACTTACATTTTCATCCAAAAAGCTAGATTTTTCATAGTTAGCTGATTGAGCTCCCGCTCCACCTGTATTTATTTTCGCTTTTTTTAAATTATCTACAATTTTCTTAGTCACTAACGATAACCATGCCAAGGATTTGATTTGATTATACTTAACAAAAAATAAATCATTTGAATATTCCTTGATGTCACAAATTTTTTCTAATTCTTCTTTATTTGCGTATTTTGATAAAATTTCAACCGTAACACTGCTTTCTGCATCGTAGATTTGATCAATAGCAATAGCTTTATTACTAGCGTATTTTCGAATATAATACAAGAATAAAAACTTGATATCTAAAGGCTGCGTAATATAAACCTTCCCGTCAGAGCTGACAAAGTCATCAATAAAAAAACTTCGATTAGGCTGATTGAATTGCATTAATTGATAAAATTGTTTATGAGCTGAATCTAATGCATAATATGAAAGTTTTTCTGTTCCAGGATTCCTCAATTTTAAAAATTCTATTTCAGCGAGATCTTCTGGTCCTTCAAATAAATCCCTGTGTATTAAAAAAACTTTCACTGGTTCCTCTTCTAACTTTGTAGCTGTAAAACTTTTTATTTCTGATTTAATTGATCCTCGTGTTTTACTCATTTCAAAATAAAAAAACAATTTACTCTTCAAAATTAAGTTAAAAATATATTGCCTTCCTCGAATCCAATAAACAAAACATTGGCTCACTCAAGTAATGTCAAAAATTGCGCAAAAACATGTCAACAAGTTTTGTTTGTCTAGGTGACCAGCTCCCCATAGTCATTGTATGCAAAGGAAATTGAGGTAAATAAAGAGAATTTGTATAAAAAATTTAAAAAAAAGAAATAATGTAAAAATTTCCTTAAATAAACCTATTCCCGCAAAATACGGAAAATTTCTTTATTCACTGAGGAAAACAAAGCTTAGTGTACCTAGTAAAATTTAAGTGAAGAAATGAGAATTCGTATGGAAGAAACGACAAATCTAATTAAAAATTCTAATTTTAAATTTTTTTTTATAGTTAAAAGCGCTAGAAATATGATATAAGTATGATATAAACGTATCAACATGGCGAATAATATAAACTCTTGAAACGTTTTCTTGAAAACTTTTTCTAACAGGGTAAATTTAGAAACAGATATATACGAAAATTGTATATTAGAATTTTTTTTTTTGTAAAATTAATTAAATTTTGTAAAATTATGTATTTTAACCCATCCTTGAAATTTATGTGGCATGCGACAATTGACAGTTGACATAAATAATTAAAGTCCATGTAAGAAAAAGAAAGCATGTTTGTGTAGAAAATTCAGCTCTTTCATTTTCTGGCAAGAATAGCGACTGAGTGTGCCTTTAATTCAACACTAAATTTATTTTTGGGCTAAATTTATTTTATTATTAAAGAATTATTTAATCTTTGATACGATTATAGAATTTGTTATTTGATTCCTAACTATGTACATACAACATTTTCAATAAATTAATATGAAAAATGGCAACTAATAAATTATAAACAAGTGAAATTAACAATGACAAGTCAAATGATGATTGCATGTTTTCACTTATTTAAAGTATGGCAACACTAACAAACGAAAAAGAAAATTTTTAGAAGTTATTTTTGCTGTTCTAATTTAAGAAAATTAAAAGGATTATTTTATTAACTTTTAAAATAAAATATAGTGTGAAATTAAGCTAAATTTCTAATAAAATACATTTTAATAATAGAATATAAGAATTCAAAGAAAAAAGGGTTAAGAAAAAAAATATTTTCCAATATATTAGAAGTATAATGGCGTTGCAAAAACTTGCAAATTGCAAAGTAATTTAAATTATCCAAAAAAAGAAAAGTAGAAATTACAGATTTAAGAAATCAAAAAGTACAATAAAATGGAAGTTGCACAACAGCAGTCAAATTTCAATTCCCAAAACAACAATATATCAATTAGTGATAAGCCATTCAGATCTCATCATCATCATTATGGTGGGCATCATTTTGGTGCTGGCAAACCAGGGCACCCATTTTTTAAACCTTTCAACTTTGGTAGAGGACCTGGTGGTATTACAGTGGATGATTTCGATGGGAAACGTTTAAGAAAGAGTGTTATGCGAAAAACTGTAGATTATAACGCATCTATTGTTAAAGAATTAGAGGTAAATCTTATATTTTCAAAATAGAATATTAAATACTAATAACCACGTTGCAATAACTATAATAATATTTAATTAATTAAAATTAAAAAAAAAATTTATGTTTTCTCTAAAAATAAATGTATTCAAAACTAACAGAATCGATTATGGCAGAGAGATTATCGTGATAGACATGCATTGCAACCAGAAAATATATATATTCCAGAACTATTGCCACCACCTAGTTATTTAGATAATCCTGCTAATTCAGTAACAACAAAATTTGTTAAAACTGCCACCAACAAAATGCGATGTCCAATTTTTACATTAGCTTGGACTCCAGAAGGACGGCGTTTAGTGACAGGGGCTAGCTCTGGTGAATTTACTTTGTGGAATGGCCTTACATTTAATTTCGAGACAATTTTGCAGGTAACTTTAGAAATGTGCATATATGTACTTTACAATAAATAAATATACATATATTTCCTCATTGTCTATTTTAATTAAATAAAGTGTCTTCTTATTTTAAAAAATATGTATTTACATAGTAAGTTTATTCTACAACTTTACTTTTATGTTTTATTTTTGTTTTTCTAATTTATTTGTTTGTAAATAAAGGCTCATGATGTTCCTGTAAGGACGATGGTTTGGTCCCATAATGATAGTTGGATGATTACAGGTGATCATGCTGGTTATGTAAAATATTGGCAGTCAAACATGAATAATGTAAAAATGTATCAAGCCCATAAGGAACCTATTAGAGGAATAAGGTACAGCATACAAACATCTAAATATATATTGTTATTATTATATTATTATATTTATATTTATTTAAAATGCATAAAAATTAAAACATATTTGAAATTCTCATAACAAAATAAATAAAATACAAAATAAAACATTAAGCCCTTGACGAAAATAAAATAAACAAAAAATCGTTCAAATAGTATTTAAATTTTAGAATGAAATTGTTAAGGATATAAAATAAAATAAATAAATGATTTCTTTGCCTTAACAATTTTTAAACCTGGTCTGATATGATTTAAATAAATAAAATAAAATTCAACCCTGCCCAAAAATCTTTGAAAACTTCGATTTTCAGATTTCTATGATTTAAAATATTTTTTGTTTATACTTACATATATAAAATTATGAAAACAAATAAATACAATTTCCTAAGTAAAATATTTACTGTGATATTTTTAAAGTTAAAATAAATAATGTATATTGAAACTTTGTCAACCATAAAAATAATTTTTCAATAAAATCACTTATTTTCACTCAAATAAAGTATTTCATTTCGCATTTCCTACTTTACAATATTATTTATTGCCCGAATTCGTAAAGAAAATTTGTAGAATATTAAAATACTTTTCAACTATTTGTGGGTCCTGAAAGAGTTCACAAAAGAGTACACTTTTTGGAATATTGATCATTTGACAAGCATATGAGGGACAAAATTATAAAACATGTTTTTATGTAAAATATTAAAAATAAAAGAAAAAAAAATAAAATAAATTCAATGTGGTTGATTGTTGTTTTACTTGATTCATTATTATTATTTTTTTTTAATTTCTACCTAAAGTCATTATGAGCTAGTAAGTACTTCATTAACATTTTATTTAAAAATATTTTTATATTTAAATTCTTCAAATAATCAATAACATTTTTGATGACGACAGCCCAGACAAAAAAAGGTTTAATAAAAAAAAAATATTTTTTTTTTTATTTTTATATTTAATTTTTCGTTCATTTTCTTTTTAAAATAAAAACAGATGTAGCTGCCTGGTTACGTGACTTTTAATTAATTTTCTCGGTTTTCCAACATTCAACATTTTTGTGCATGTAAACTAATTACAAATAAAATCTTTTTAATTTAAAATAAATTTTAAAATAAATTGAATTGTAAAAAACAGAATTTCTAACACTGCCTTTTAAACATGAATCAGAAATATGTGTAACAAATTTTCACTTAAAACCCAAGATCAACAAAATATTAAATTAAGTTATTCGAAAGCTACACCCTTGTCTTTATTTTAGAGCAAAATGTAAATACATAAAATAAGTTTAATACAAATTACAAAAATAAATTTTATATTACGTTTCTTAAATTTCCCATAAATTTATTGTAAGAACCTACTAAATTGGTTTTATAAATTTGTAGAATTGATATTTCAATTCTCATTGAATTCAATTTTAATTCCAAAACGATTTTGGGAAGTTATTTGGTCTTAATGTACTACATTTTGTTGTTTAGTCTTGGCTTGGGAATCATTATAAAAATTGTAATAATTATCCTTGTTTTTGAATAACTCATTCATTCATTTTTAAAACAAGGTACATATTTGAATAATTCTTTACAGTTTTAGTCCAACGGATTGTAAATTTGTAAGTTGCAGTGATGACGGTACATTACGTGTTTGGGATTTTTTACGATGTCAAGAGGAGAGAGTATTAAGAGGTAGAAAAACAATATTTTTTCTTTAAACTTTTTTGTTATTCTTTCAAAAAATTTAAAGGCCATGGTGCAGATGTAAAATGCGTTCACTGGCATCCACAAAAATCGTTAATAGTCTCTGGAAGCAAAGACAACCAACAGCCAATAAAACTTTGGGATCCAAAAAGTGGAAGTGCTTTGGCAACCCTGTAAAATTTAAAATATGTCCCCGAAAATTATTCAAACTATATTTCTTTTCTTTTTGTTTTATTTTTAGTCATGCTCATAAATCGACTGTAATGGATCTGAAATGGAATGATAATGGAAATTGGTTAATAACTGCATCAAGGGATCATTTATTGAAACTATTTGATTTAAGAAATTTAAGAGAAGAAGTACAAGTTTTTCGCGGTCATAAAAAAGAGGCGAGTTCAGTTAGTTGGCATCCAATTCATGAGGGTCTATTTTCTTCAGGTGGCTCTGATGGTTCAATTTTATTCTGGAATGTCGGGTAAAAAAGAAATCATTTGGAAATTTTGTATTTTTTATAACAACGAAAATATTTTTAAATAATAGGACTGACAAAGAAATTGGTAATATTGAAAATGCACATGAAAGTATTGTGTGGACATTAGCTTGGCATCCGTTAGGTCATATTTTATGTTCTGGTTCAAATGATCACACTATTAAATTTTGGACAAGAAATAGACCTGGCGATTTCATGAGAGATAAATACAACTTAAATACATTACCAGCTAGTTTAGCTGGGTTAGATGAATGTGATTTAGGTAAGTAAAATAAAACAAAAGTTTAAGAAACAAATTTTAATTTTTCTACGCTTTAATTTTAGACGAAAATCTTGTAATTCCTGGTATGGGACCAGAAGACAAAGTTGAATTTACTGAAAGTTTAATAGCGGATAAGGGTTCAATTCCAGGCCTTGAATTAGATACAAGCGCTATAGAAGATAAAAAAGAAAAGAAAGTACCTTATAGTAAACCTATTCCAAGAAACTTTCAAGCTCAATGGAACGATACAGGAAATAGAATAGAAGACAATGAAGAAAATGCATCAAAAGAAATTAAAGAAGTTATTACACAGTTAGCTGAAAAAGCTCCTGGTGCCGTCCCACTAGAAAAACTTTCTCCAACAGCTATAATAGTATATGGAAAAGTTGTTCCAGTTCTGCCGGGTAGTAATTTGCAAACAGCAATATTAGCCGGTCCTGATTCGCTAAATAGATACATTAGTTCTGGTGAAATAGAAGAATTAGCAGATGTACTCCCACCTGTAGAAGAAGTTCGTAATACAAATTCTGAAGAGGTTTCAAATACAACTTCAGAACCACGGCGAAAAAAATCGCGTTTTAGTGATGCTGTGCCAATACGAAATCATAATGCACAAATGGTATACGGTCATGATAGCGATTTGAGAAACATTACAGGATTACAGCCGCAGCAACTTTTACAGCTTCAGCAAATTCAACAGCAGTATCAACAACAGCAATTACTTCAACAGCAGCAGCAGCAACAACAGCAACAACAACAGCAACAAAAACCATTTATACCGTCATTACTGAACATTAAGGTACCAGAACCAGAAGAGTTCAAATCCAAAATATCACCCCGCGATAAAGATTTTCGTTTTGATGATGAAGATGATGATGATGATGAGCGTGCGCCTTGGGATCAAAAACCCAATGGTTTTCAATCATTTATACAAGGAAACAACATATTTGGTAATACTGGTGGAAATTTTGGAAGCGGGAATTTCACTGGCAATTCGGACAATTTTGATAGAAATTTTAATTCTAACAATGGAAATAATGGTGGCAGGGGCCGGCCTTCAAGATTTAGCGATATTAATGATAAAACTGATCGATTTGACAATTTTAATAGTAATAGTAATGATGATAGTAATTATGGCCGCGATAGAGATCGAAGAGGTAGTGGAAGCAGAATGAATAGCAATCGCAACCAAAACCGGAATAATAGAAATAATAGAAGATTTTAATTTAAAAAAAAATAAAAAAATACACATACATACTTTTTTTCTTTTGTAGTTTTGTAAATAAAAGAAATTATCATTGATATTGCGGTGAAATATCCGTAATAAATTGTATTATCTAGAAATTCATAAAAATAAGTCCTACCAACATAAATAAATAATATATTATACATATAAGTAAATAAAAACTAAGTAAGAATTTGGAAGTATGATATAATAAAAACATTTCAAGATGTGTTCTTTTTGGTTCCCAAACCAACATTCTTGGTTCATCGCAATAAATTCAAATTTTTTAGAATATGTTTTTCTGTTGATTTCTTCTCGTTCATGGATACTAGAAGATCTTTTTTATGCTGATGTTGTTTTAAATGTTATTTTTCTTAAAGCTTACATGCTTAATTTAATCAAAAATTAAAATTTTATAAACCTTTAAAAAAGTTGTAACTATTTTTCGAACTCAACCAATTGTAATTATTTTATTCTTAATTTTACATTAAAAAGAATAAATCCCATTATTCCTTCCAAACCGTTCCAAATACAGCAAAAAAACAATTTACAGAAGTGTTTTTCAACAGGAATTGAAACAATACATTTCCTGGTTCTAAGAAGATTAATTACTTTTTCCTAGTCTTTACAGAGATTTGAATAATGAACCGGAGCAGTGGATCAATAAGCAGATTAATTTCATTATGGTAAGTATGCATAATTGATTGAAGATATTTTATTTCTTAATTTTAAAAAAATTATAAATATCCAAATAGTAAATCAATGCGACTCTCCGATTTCAGTTGCACCAATAATATTAAGTCAAACTCTTTTTTAGGAAAGTAAATAATTATAAATAATTTTTTCTTTCATCAAATACGGAGTAATCCCTTTAATTTTTCCTCTTCTATAAGTAATTCTATCTCCAAATAGGAGAAACAATTTAATTTAAAAATTTCCAACTGATCGTATATTCAAGATTTTGATTTTCTAAAAGCCGGACCATCTATCTCTTTATTTTACTCGCCAAGTGAGAAGAAACAGTAATTATTTTATGTTTGTATAATGTAATTTTCGACTGAAGAGATTTATTGCGTAAAATATATACAAAATTTATTCATTTTGTTTTAGAGAGGTTCAGTCGGCAATTTTAGAACAAACGCAAGAATCCAATTGAAAAATTTAGTAATCTTATTGGAAAAATGACGAACTATCCATTAGGAAAGCAAAGAATTTTGATTTGAAAGTGAATGGAAAATTTTGAAAGAAAAGTGAGATGGAAAAGCAAAATACACAATTAGACCTCTTAATACTTAGGACGTTAATAGTTTACCTCGCTATTTTTTCTTTAATTCAATTTCCAATTTTTAGTTTAATAAAAGTGGATTTTCAAGAGAATTTTTCATATTGCGCATATCGTTTTTTATAAAATGTATAGAAAATATAATTATTATTGATTCAATTTGATATTGAAGGTTTTTGGGGGTAAGTTGATATTTCGAAAAAGACTGAATTTAGAATATAAATGTAGTTGTGATTGATAATGCAATTGCATAATGTGAAATGTAATTGTATAATGTTAGATGCAACAGCATAGTGTCACATATTATTGCAAACTGCAGAGTAATTAAAGCTTTACATTCTGTAAAAGCAAAAAGCAGAGCAGTTTACAATGCAATTACATGTGACGTTGTTGTATTCACCTTATGTTAAAAAAATAAAGTAATGAAAAAAAAAAAACAATTTTTTACTTTTTTTTTTTTTTTTGAAATATTTACATTTATGTTTTCTGTTTTAATAATATACATTTGCAAATATATCATTAACTCTTTTTAGCTTAAACTATGTTGTTCTTTGTTTTATTGTTTATTATAATATATATATATATAATACTTAAGAATTACAAAAATACAATTTGTTTTTTTTTTTTTTTTTTTTTGCTTTTTTGGAGAAATTTGAGTATTATTGTTCTGACTTTTTATTTTATTTTGTTGGTATATTGCAAATTTTTTAATAATTAATTATTGTAAATGCATTTTACTTTTAATAAGATCTTTAAATTAATTAGACTTGTGAGAATTAACTTATGGCTTAACAATAAATGGAAATTGGTACATGCTTTTGTTTTTATTTTTTTGATGTAGAGATCCTTTATATTTAAGGAGTAAACGTTACACATACTTCAAATCAGATTAATTAATTTCGTTAAAGTCTTATAGATTTCCTTGTTAGTTGTCATCATTACCAACAGCGTTTTTTTTTCTTTTTCATGATTTCTCTATAAATAATTAACTTATAATGGAATTTTAAATATTATTATTAAATTTTTTTCACAGCATTGTCTCAAGTTCTTCATTTAAAATTAATTTTAAAATTTAATCAATTTTTATACATATATGTTATTCTTATACATTATTATTTTAGAAAAAAAACTTTTAGAAAAATAAAATACTGAAAGAAATATTAAATTTTTAACTAATGAAAAATTTTACAATGAAAATATTTAAAAATTGAATTAATAATAAAAGTATTTAATTAATTGAAAAAAAAAATTCAAGCTTCAGTCTTAATTATTTGATCAATTTATTTTCTTTTTCTTTATAAAATTAATCGAAATTATGAATTTTTAATTTTAAAATTAATTAATAAATGAAGTATAATCATAGTTTTTAATTTTCAATTTTTTTTTTCTTATTCTACGAACTAATGATTCAATCCTTTAAAAAATTCATTAAATTCATTATTTCGCAAGTATTTATTATTTTAATTTTTTCATAAAAAATTGAGATATTTAAATATTTAAATTTTGCAAATTTAAGAATTTTCATTATATAGACTGCTGTTTAAGTTAAATTTTATACAATTAAAAAAAAAAATATTTTTAATTTTAGTTTTTTTTTTTTTTTTTTTACAATATTTTTGTAAAATAAAACAAAATAATAAATTTTTACTTTTACAAGGAATAGAATTTCTATAACATTAATAAAAAACATAAAATTTTTTTTAAATAAAATGATATTATTTTTAAAAACTTTATGATATTTATATATAATTTCGGTTGCAAACTGGTAGATTCCATTAAAGCTACATATTTCCAAATAAATTGGATTTTTTTATTTTATTGAGTAAAATATTTCAATGTATAATATTAAATATATATAATATAATGTATTTTATTTTTTTTGTGTATAATATTTGAATACAGTAAATACAGTTTCTATTGTTTTTGTTCAAAAAATAAATTTTATATTAACTTTTTTAATCAATAAATATTTCCGTTTTTATTTTTGTTTTGTAATTCTATTAAGTTCATTTTGGTATAAATAATTGAATACAATTTGATTTTTCTTTTTATTATTATTATTATTATTTATGTATGTATAAAATTATAATTTTGTTTTATTTCAAAATCAAACGCTTTATTTACTGAATTTATTTAATAAATAAAAGTATGGATCAATCGATTTTTGATTATTCTTTCGGCAAAAGATTATAATTTTTTGCAAAAAATATAAATAATCAAAAATGGCCAAATGATATAAAAGAGATTAAATTTATTGCATACATAAAATAATATTATAATTTAATAAATATCGAAACGGATATATGTAATTGTTTTAATAACAATATTTTTTTAAGTATGCAAGAAATCTTAGGCACATTATTTGAAAAATTTTCGTTTAAAATAAACATATCTAAGTGAAAAAATATAAAATAATAAAAAAATAATTTATATATAATATAACACAAAAAAAAATTAGTTTGATAAATTAAAATATTTATTTATAATTTGAAAATTATGTTTAGTTATAAAATCCATACAAAATATTTGTTTTTAAAAACTTAGAAAACATACATAAATGAATGCAACCATTTAATTTAAATATTTTTTAATTTTCCTGTTAAATATATAATTATATAATATTAATGTATGTATTTCACTTAAAAAATATATTATGTACTTTGCTTATCTAATTATACATTTTTTTTTCTGAATTAATCAAATAACATAAAGTAATAAAATAAAAATATTTAAGAAATATTAAAAAGAATTTATAAATAAATTTGACAATTTTTATCATTAGTAATGTAAGCTAATTACTGTTGTCAATAAAATTGACTAATTCTTAATACCATTGTCAACTACTGGCAACTTTTTATTGCTAATTGTAAAATGTTTAGTCGCAATTACAAATTTTTTTATTAATATTCGTTTTAATTGAAAAGAAAAAACCGGAGAAGTGAAAGCATTCATATAGGCTAATCGTAAAATAATTTAAAGTGAAACGATTTTTCGGATGAAGAAATTGTTGGTAATATGGCAATGATTAGAGCCTATATAAATTTAACAATAGCTTATTAAAAACAATTAACTTTTTATAGCTTTTTTTATATTTATTATTAAAATGTTTGTCAATCGAATAATTAGGAATAAATGATTCGAAATGATAATTTTATTGTTAAAATTTTATCAATAAAATTGTTAAAAATTGACAATGATAATTAGTATAAATAATATATAAATTGTCATATCTCAACATCGAATTTTATAAATGTAGCAAAACTGAAATTTGTTCTTTTTTATGGTTATTAGATAATTTTTTTCTTAGTTACCAAGCTTAATTCAGACAAAAAATTTATTAAAAATACTTAGTTTATGAATAGAATTTCTTATGAGTTTTTTTCTTAATTTTTTTTCAAATAACATAAATGATATCAATTTTAAATATGTATTATTTAAAACGATATATTAAATATATTTCGATAATGGTTTTAGTTTACCAGAAATACTGATAAAAAATACTGTTTTCAATTTTAAACTTTCTTTTCGAGACATTAAGTATAATTACCTTTGAAACTTATGAATTAGAATCGAAATTATATGTACATACATGCAATAAAAATATTTTTTTTTTTTACAATATTACTTAAATTAATTTTTTTTTATATTTGTATTTGGGATAGGGTAAGGTTTTGAATTATGAGAATGTACTTAAATTCTAAATAAATTTATAAGTAAGCATTTTTTTTTGTATCAACCATCATAAGAGCAAATTATGTTAACAATTATTATTTTCAGATAGTAAAACAAATATAAAAAAAATGGAAAATCAATAATTTTTTGTTTTACAAAAATATATACGTATGATTGATCAAATTGGAAGTAGTAATAATAATTTTATCCATAAAAATAAATTTTGAAAGATTATTCAGATTTTAAATTTTGCAAATTTTTAAGCGTCTGCAGTAAATCTGTATGAACTTGTGTAACATGTTGAGCTAGAGCAAATGCATTTTTAAATAGACTACCACAAACAATACAAGACAAAGGTTGATTAATGTTTGCTCCTTGCAAATGACCTTCCATATGCTTTTTTAAATATGCTTGTTGACTATAGGTTTTACCACAAACATTACATGGAAAACCTCTTTCATTTGTATGAATTTTCATATGAACTGATAGACTAGATGCTTGTGTAAATGATTTGTTACAAATTTCACATTTATATGGCTAAAAAAATAAGTAAAATTAATAGATTTCTTCATTGTTATTTCTTTGATTTTTATTAAAAATAAAAAAAATTACTCACTTTTTCACCAGAGTGAATTCTTATGTGAGTGTTTAATGAACCTATAAGATGAGAAAAAAGTTACACATATAATACATAATAAAAAAAAAAAAAAATTGTAAAACAAACCAGGTTGGGTGAATGATTTTTCACAAATGGAACATTGGAAAGGTTTTTCGCCCATATGAATTTTCATATGCTGCACTAATTCAGCGCTTCCTTTGAATATATCACGACAAATCGCGCACTTATATACTCCTGAATCATTTTGATGAAGTAACATATGTTCTGATAAAAGACTGGAATTTTTAAAGCTTTTGTCACAAACACTGCAAGCAAATGGTTCACCTTCGGCATGAGCTTTTATATGCAAAACTAAACTACTTGAATTTATAAAACCTAAAATATAAATTGAGGTCACATTAAAATACAATATTAATTACATTACTAAATAACTATTCTAAACATTTATACCTTTATCGCATAAAGTACATTGGTGAGGTTTTCGAACTGAATGAGATCTCATATGTACTAATAAACTGGAAGATTGCGTAAAACTTTTTGTGCATATCTCACATTTATAAGGCTAAAAAATTTGAATTTTTGAATAAAAAAAAATAATATAATATGTTATTAGTATTTTATACCTTTTCACCAGAATGAATTCTAATATGAGTACTTAAGGATCCAATATGTGTGAACGATTTCTCGCATATTGAACACATAAATGGTTTATTAGTAATATGACATCTAACGTGTTTTGCTAAATCACCAGCATTTGGAAATGAATCTTCACATTGTGAACATTGAAAAATTTTACTGCTTGGATCACCTTTTCTTAATTCAGCTTGCTTTTGATATTCTAAACTTCTTCTACCTCTTCTTGTACGGAAATTTATAAATTGTGATGGTGAACTAGCTTTATTACTATTACTTGAATAACTTTCTTTATCATTTTCTTCATTATCTAAATCGATTTCTAATTCATTTTCTTCATCGTCATCATCATCATCATCTTCATCGTTATCCATTGATGTTTCTGGGCCCCATATTTGATTAATATCAGCTGAATTTCCGTCCGTATCCATTTCAGCATCACTATTTATTTGAATATTATTTTGATTGAATTCAATTAAATTATTTTGCTGTTGTTTAATATGAAATTTTTGTATTTCTTCTTCAGATAAATCAGTTATTTCACATATTGGTTCAATAATACCACTACTATAAATATCATCATCCTCATCATCATCTTCATCATCATCTTCGAAATCATCCTCATCCCCATTATCATCATTAACTTTCATTAAACCATTACTAAGTTTATTAACACCTACTACTCCATTATATATTATATTTCCATTAATAAATCCATTTGTTTGATTTATATTACTAGTTGTTGGCCGTTGTTCTTGTTCTACAGATAAATCAGAATGTAATTTATTCATATGATCTATTAGGGTTTTAGGATGTTCAAATATTTCATTACAACACATGCAATGAAATGTTAAATCTGGTTGTCTTTTAATTGGTTTTTCGATTTCATCATTTACCACAGGTGTAATTGTTACCGGTAATTTTATATTTGGTGTTGTTATAGGTATTATTTCCATTTTCTATAAGAAATATACATATAAACCATTTAAATATATTAATTTAATTTGTAATTTATTCAAATAAATTTTAGTATTTTTTATTTGGTTTTTGGGTAATACCTAGCTAAATATCTACCTACCTTTACCTTTCTATTAAATTTTTAAAAAAGGCTATTTTATACAATACCATTCTAAAAAAATTTAATTTAGAATCTCAGGTCTTGCCGAAACACATAGTGTATAGAGTAACTTTGTATATAGATAAAAATAAATCAATTGGCAAGAATAATATTTCAGTACAGAACAATTTAAATAAGAACCTATATTGTATTTAATCTTACTAGAAAAATTTTATGGCAAATATTGATTTTTATTTATTTTCTCTTTTGAATTTAATGATTGCATTGACTCTTATAATTTTTTGCTTTACAAAAAAGTAAATTATGTAGGTATGTATATGCATGCCTTTAATTAATATAAAGTAAAATTTTAATGGAATTTTAAAATAATTCAATTTTTTTCTTTTTGGCTTAGTTGCCTACCTATCTAAATTACTTAGGAGTAATTTAATACAATACATACCTATATTCGACAACTATATTGTGATTTTCCTCAAGTTTAAAGTTCATGAAATAAAGGATATTCCTTTCTTATGCAATTTATCAGATTTTAAGTTTGTTATATGAGAAGCTACTACTGAATAATTAGAATATAAGTGCTCATATGTATGAAACAGAAGTACACATTAATGTACATAATATATGAATAACAAAAAAAAAAAGTAAAAAGATGAATAAAAAAATGTTCCTACATATATTTTATATATGTATGTACATATGTGCATCGTCTCCTTTAACAACAGATGTTTTATTAAAATTTTTTATTCATTTTTGATGTCTACCTGAAATAATACTTAAATAATTTTTTTTTTTTTTTAATTCAACTACCCGCGCAAACTATATACCTACTCTTTGCATATACATAAACTTTTTTATATTATATGTAACACATGTATGTAAATATATTTATATGCACATAGGTATATTTATATTCCTTTTTCTTTTGATTCCCTTTTTTTAAGCAGACTCGAAATATTGTATATGAAATAAAAAAAAAAAAATAAATTACCACCCAAGTACTACTATTACTATACCAAAACCAATTTAAATTTTCTTTCATAAATATATATGTATGTATATATATAGCTACCTCCTTTTTTTATTCATTTCGTTTTGGGTTTTTTTTTTTTTATTTAATAATATTAATTTAATGCATATGTGGTAGTGAATAAAGTAAACTTGTATTAATGAATAAAATTAAAAAAAATTTTTTTTTTTTAAATAAAAGACAAAGGGGGATGATGCTTTTCAATAAAAAAAAAAATGAAATTTTAAATGAAAATTAATTTTAATTTTTCAAGTAATTTAAATATTTTTGTATCACATTAAACAAAAAAAAAATTATCTTTTATGCATTTTTAATTTAAAATATAATTAAAAATTAAATAGATTATTATTAAGTAGATAGATAGATAGTTAGGTATGTAAGGTATTTTTTTATATTACTTTTGATTAATCAATAATTTTATGATTCAAACATAATATCTTACATTAAATTTATTTTCTAATTTTTCACTACTTTATTGTTATTAGGTTTATTTATTATTCAAAATAAAATTTATTAAAACTTTTTCATAAAAAAAAATTTAAAATAATATTGTAAGTAATCTAATATATACTCTTTAATAAGAATACACCACGCTTTGGCTTCGCAACAATCAAACTAAAATTTTAATAAGTCAAATAATGTACTTTAAAATTGAATCTGCTGAACTTATACTCATTTCTTACTAAAACATCCTCGCTAGTATTTTTTTTTTTTTGTGTTTTATTGTGCATGGGCCAAGCCAGACAAAAAAAAAATATAAAAAAAACGATAAAAGAAATTTCCTTTAAAAACTAGAATGTTTTTGTTTACATCTCTAAGTGAAAGAGATGTATATAGTTTTTTTTGCCGGAAACATAACCTTAAATCCAACATATAAAAATTAGTTAAAGAAGGAAAGATGTATTTGAATAATATGTCAGAAAAAAATTAATCAGCAAAATAATTCAGCGATTTTCATTTTTCGGAATTTAATAGGAATAAAGTTTAATGGGTTTCTAATAAAATTGGGCAAATTTTATTTTGAAGAATTTATAGGAAAAATTTATTGTTGTCATTTGTTATTAAATTTACGATTTATTTAAATTAATGCTTAATTTTTTTTTAAATTTCATAATCATAAAATGTTTTATTTAAGCAAATATTTTTAATTCAATAATAATTTTAAATATTTTTATCTTAACTTGATAATTTTTGAATAATTATTTGTTAAGTATTGTAATGTGTGTTGGACTTTATTGATGCGGATGGAACGAAATATTCTTAAAAAATATTCAGATCCTATTTCGAATTATTGTTGAAAATTTTAACTAAAATTTTTCATAATTCTAATACTAATCGGCAATTATTTAATTACGCAACACTTCTCTTCATAATTTTTATTTTAAAATCTCAATACTTAAGCTGTATTCATTTTGATTTTAATATTTTTTTGATATTTATTTTGTTTTTATAATTAGATGAAATTTGTGACATGATAAAAGTTATTTAAATTAATTAAAGATTTTATTTCATTAAAAATATTTGTTCTATATATGGTCACTCTAAAAAAAAAATTTTGTCATTTTATGTTTACTGGGATAAAAAATATTGACAATTGACACGTCAAATGTCTTCTTATTTGACATTTTGTTGGGATAACGTGTACTACGAGTGGCGCTGTTGACTGATCTAAACGGGTAAACCGTGTGCATCTTATTTTCTTAATTTTTATAGATATTAATCCTGAATTTGAATCATATTAAACTACCACAAATATTTGTATAAATATGTGGAAACATGGGTTAATATTTATGTGCTTAATAGCAGGAATTTATTGTGCCGTTGATACGGCAATTGAGAATAAAAAAGTTGAAAGGACTATTGACTTAACTTCTCAACTTGTTAAGGTATACCATAAAATAAATTTGGGCCGTACTGATAATGGAGTAATATCTGCATATACTTTCGTATTAACTGAAGACGAGAAAAATCATTTAGCATATTTATCGGCAAAAGATGGATCAAAAAAAGAATTGAAATTAACAGAAAGTAAAACAAGTAATGGTTGGGAGTATTTAGTATCATTTTCAAATCCTGCAGCTACCCAAACTCTGTATATAGAGGCAGTATATACGAAAATGTTACAAGCTTATCCAGCAAGTATAACTCAATCTGAAAAACAGCTGGTTAGATATTTTGGAAATTTATATTTCTTTTCACCATACAAAACCGTAAATCAGGAAACATCAGTTTATTTAAGTTCTAGAAATGTTGAATCTTATACTCAAATTAAACCGGTCTCTATGTCAGAAAGCACTATAAGTTATGGAAATTATGAAAATATAGCCCGTAAGTAATATTAGACAATTTGTTAGAAGTTTTTAACGAAATGAAATTTGTTTCTTTTTAGCTTTCACGACTGAAGAATTGGTAATTCATTATGAAAATCATTCACCATTTTTGATTGTCAGCCGATTAGAACGAACAATTGAAATTTCTCATTGGGGTAATATTGCTATAGAAGAAACAATTGATATATTACATTCCGGAGCCAAACTAAAAGGTTCATTTTCACGAAGTGAATTCCAAAAAGATACCAGAAATAGTTTGTCAGCTGTAAAATCATATAAAACTATTTTACCGGCATCTGCTACCGGTGTATATTATCGCGATACAAATGGAAATATTTCAACTTCTAATATGAAAATTTTAAAAGATTCAGTTGAACTTGACTTAAAACCTAGATTTCCATTATTTGGCGGATGGAAAACTCATTATACTTTAGGATATAATGTTCCTTCTTTTGAGTATTTATTCAATAATGGAGATAACTACTTATTAAAAATGAGAGCAATTGATCATGTTTTTGACGATATGACTATCGATGAAGCTATTGTAAAAATTATTTTACCAGAAGGATGTACAAATATAAAGTTAATTACACCGTATCCAATAACTCGTTTACCTGATACATTGCATTATACATATTTGGATACATTTGGAAGACCTGTAATTTCATTTTCTAAAAGAAACTTGGTGGAAAATCATATACACGATTTCAATTTAAAATATAATTTTGCTAAAATTACTATGCTTCAAGAACCGCTATTGGTCGTCAGTTTCCTATTTGTTTTATTTGTGATAGTAATTATTTGTATGCGCCTTGATTTTTCAATAGTAAAGGAAAAAGAAATCCATCATCACAAAGACTAGATAATTTTTAAGAACTTTCCAAAATATGTTTTGTATTAGAAAATAAGATAATTTCTAAGCATATTAATTAAATATGAATTTTTAAAATTTAAAAAATTAAACACCACATTGTTTTTTGAGGCAAAAATAAATAAAAATGAACAAAAATATTTGATGTAATTTACGCATGCGTCTGGTAAAATAAATTTCAATAAAAATAGGTATGTTTGTTTTTGAATTATAATTTCGGAGTTTTTCAAAATAATAATAACTATAATAATAAAATTAATTACCTTTATAAGCGTTATCTTATTGGCATTGAAAAATTACTAAAAATATGTAATTTTTTTAAGTGCCTGCATTGTTAGAATGTGGAAAATTTTAAATTTCACTCGACTTTATACCTTTAATCTTGATCAGAATTTCATTTTTTTTCTAACTTGTTTTTCTTTTAAAAATATGTACCTTTAAAATTGAACCAAAAAAATGCTATTTGGCATGAACTTTTGCTCTTGCAATTCAATAGAATATTTTTAAACAAAACCTTTCCGAATATTTTTATAACGAAAGAAAAAGTAAATAGGTTAAAAACAAGACAGTAAATTCATAAATGCAACTTTGAACATTTTTCCAATATTCTATTTGTTTCCCTTTAGAATTTTAGATGATGGTATGTAACGTATTAATTTTTTTGTGAAATTTCTGAAACAGAATAATAAAACGAAATAAACATTTAATTTTTATTTTATAAATTTTTTGTATATAAACACAATAGTTTTATTTTGTTTATTTAAAGATTATAAATACTTTTCACGGATTCTAACGCACTATTTATGTCTTCGATAAAAAATAATAAAATTTTATTAGTAAAAAAAATGAAAAATAAAACTGACGTGTATTAATAATTTTTCGTACACTAATTTTTATACTTTTAATATAATATTTAATATAAGTTCCACTGCATGAGTAGCGAAGGGTTTACTGCATTATTTTTTTTTTTAATGTCTTGGCTTTTTCAAACAGCATGAATGATATAAAATTTATATTAGTTGATATTTTGATTTATTTATATATATATTTTTTTATTTATTTATTTATTTATTTAATATTTATTGTTTGTTAAGCATACTAGCCAAGACTTTCAACACATGTTGTTTGTAGGGATGTTCCTTTAATTAAAGTTTTATATTGCTCTGGAATTGGTTGTTCAACCTATAAATATTAAAATTTTATTAATCATACAAAACAAATATATATATATATATAATTTTTTTATAAACTTACATAATCACCATTGCCTTTAGGAATCATTACATTCATTTCAGATGATTTAGAGCTTACGATTTCTACATCCAATGATTCTTTTGATAAATACATTTGACAGCCATCAGTTTTGTCAATAGATATAGTTGGACATTTTTGTAAAACCTTAATTAGATTTTAATTGAAATATATAATACATATTAATTACTTAATTCGGAAAGTAAATAAATATAAAGGTAATTATATGATAGCGCACATACCTGCATTTGCACACTTTGACAATTAACGAACTCAATTGATGCAACAACTGAATCAACGAGTAAAGAGCATTTTTTACAGGAATCCATAAAAACGCTATTAACTTTTCCTTTAATTGTTAAAGTTGAGTTTTCACATTTAAACATGTAAATAACGTTGTTCATTTCGGCATTGTCAATATTAAGACTTGGATTAGATTTTTGATGTTCAATAATCCATTTTTTACCATCTTTTTGGAATACAGGTGCTTTAGTAACTGGACCTGTTGGTTGAACGCTTGGAGTCGTCGATGTAGGTGTAGGTGCTTTAAACGGAGCTGGACCAGTCCGTAATGTTGGATTTTTATGAGTTTGCATATCAGCTGTAACTTTTCGAAGACCTAAATAAATTAAAAAAAAAAATTTAATAAAATATCGTCATGTAATAATTTATTTCTTATATAAAAGAACCTGTACTAAAGAGTGTACTAATTTTACTAAAAATCAAAATAACAAGGATAGTTTTCTTCAAAAATTAGCTTAAATTTTTTAGCGATAAACTAATCTTTACATAATAAGAAAAATAATATTTACGTCTCGCTGCCGGAATTTCATAAATAATATTTTTTGAAGAATAAAACAAAGTTAAAAATTTATGGTTAAAATTTTTACTTTTACGAAATTTAAAGTAAAAATAAAAATACCTTTAGTAATATCTTCACCACGATTAATTTCAGCAAATAATGCACTTCGATCATCAGCACCTCCTAATGACATTGAGGACATGTCCAATACTGGAGGTGGAGGTGGTGGTGGACATCCTGGTGGTGGAGGTGGAACACCTCCAGCCGCAATTTGACCCTTACCAGACCAAACTAGCCCAGTGGTATGATATTGTTTGATATATTTTTGTAATTCAGTTAATGTTTGAATCCATGAACGAGCCCATTCTACATGAGTTGGATCTTTATCTTTCCAATCTTTTAAAACACGGTTTGTATAAAATTGGCCAGCATCATTCATTTCTTTAACATGTGGACCAGGTGTTGGAGACTAAAAAAAAATAATCAAAAATTAATAGTTTTAAATCAAATATTTAATTATATTCAAAAATTGCCAAAATTACATACCACGCACACCCAACCAAGAGCGGGAATACTTTCACTAATTGCTGATAAATGATTGAAATATTGTGATGTACGATTTTTTTCGCGAAAATCTTGTATAGCAGCTATTTGATCAGATGTTGGTTTAAGTAATTCCATTTGTTTATTTTGTGGCGGTTGCGCATTTTGACTTGTAAGTTTAATATATGCAAACTGAGCACTAAAAACATTAAAAAAAAAAAACAATATTGTATTTATGAATCATTTCTCGTATATAAAATAAATAAAATTTATTAAAATATTAAAACTTACTCAAAAGCTTTGCCTACAAGTGCAGCATGTTTTGCAACATCTCCACCAATTTTATTTGATACATTAATATATTGAGTTAATGGACCCAAAATTATATCTTCATAACCGTTAACACTCATTATGTTATTTTCTTTTATATCTATAAATTGCTTATCTTCTTGTTGTTGATGATTTAAATCAATAATTCCTTCTTCAATTAAATATTCGTCTAATACAGTTGGTATATTTTCAAGACTACCGTCTCCGTCTTCAATATTATTATTTATATTATTGCTATTATTATTATTTAAATTATTTTTATTATTTTCGTCTTTAATATAATTTATTTTATTAATATTATTTTCAAGACGATCAATTATTTTATTTAATGATGTATCTGTTGATGTATTTGGTATTGGGGGTAATTCAGCTGTTTCAATATCAAAACTACGACGTTTTTGTGTATCAACTACTGAATTAAATACTCTATTTGCTATTTCTAATTGATGTGCCGATACAGAACGTTCTAATCTTTCAACAAGTTTTTCTAAACGATCTACTTGTTTTTCAAGTTCGGCTGCTACGGAAGGCTTTAAATCAGGATCGCAGTCTAAAATTAAAAGAGAGAGAGAGAGAGAGAAAAAAAAATTAAATTTTGTAAAATTATTATTATTAATTAAATAAAAAAAAATAAATAAATTTTAATACAAAATATTTTGGATGTACTTTAATATTTTATTTTTAATCTCTTAAATAATTTTTCAATATTTTTTTATATCTAATAAGACTTAAAATTTGGATATTCATAAGAAGAAAGACTGAGACCATTTACAAAAATGCAATGTGTTAGAACAACCTTGATTCATTCAGTAATTGGAATTGCATTGTTAAATAAGTCAAATTGACGTAAGATATACAATTTGGTAGGCGGCCTGCTTAATTCAAATATAACATTAGAATTCTCATAAATTAGAAATTTAATTGAATTTAAATATGTCAAAGTTCAATTATTATAATTCCGGAATATTTAATTTATTTTATTTATAAAATTTTATACTTTAATACCATTTTGTTAGAATAGATTTGTTTCTTTTTTGAATTAATGTGGGTTTAAATTTCAAAATATTAAAGTATGTATAAGGTTAATTAAATTTTTTTCAATTCGCTTTAATATTATCTAAATATTATATAGAGGTGGGTTTTGTTTAACACTTTAACATTTAAATTTTAAAAATGTCATCCAAAATATAATATTAATATTTTATGATAATAATTATTTATACCTATATTTACAATAAATATCAAAACATATACATACATACATAATTATGTCTAACAGTAATAAAAAATTTAAATGTAGGTTTTATATTCTTTAATATCAATATTTTTTGCTTTTACCCTTTGAAATATAAGTAAAAAGGTGTGTATTTTTTGCGACAAAAAAAAAAACAAAGAGAAAAAATTAAAGAGAATTTGCAATAAATATTGAAAATATAAAAGTATAATTGAAAATAATATTTTCTTATCTACATTATTTATTGACATAAGGTATATATATATATAATTAATTAAAATATTCTCTAACATTAAGTGTACAAACAAAAATATTAATTATTATTATTTTTTTTTTTAATATTTATATGTACAAATATTGTAATTTTTTTATTTATATTATAGTGATTATTAAATGTTTATTTGATCGGATTTTTAAAGCGAAAATTTCATGTTAAATTAAAATAAAAATTATTTTTTTTTTACAAAATATAATATAAACACGAAATATATACATAAAATAATTAAAGTAAATAATAATATTAATAAATTAACAAGATATGTACATATATGTGATTCACTCTAATTTTTTTTTTTTACCTGGGTTATTACAAGTTTTTAATTCGTTTATAATTAAGGTGCGACCAAAGCACGCACTTACTTTTTGACCCATTAAATATAAACATTATACTCTTTGACACATTTAATATAAAAATATTTTGTATTTATGTATGTAAAAAAAAAAATTTAACATATTATTCTAATCAAATTAGGTGTTCTAAATTTTTGAACAAAAAAAAAAATAGTAAAAACGTGGGATTTTTAAGGGAGAGGGGTATATAACCACTCTATAGCTCTATGCCCCTATTTCAATTCCTAGCTGAATAAATTAAATATTTTATATACTATTATAATTTTTTACATTTACTCTCAAGAAAAAAAAAAACCACAAAATTTAAAAATTCACTCTCAAATATTTTAATATTTTCTCAAATATTATAAAAATTATGTTACTTTAAAATTAAAAATAAAATATATATAAATAATAAAGAATTTTTTTTTTTTTTTTAAAAAATGCATCCGATATGTGATTATGATTATAGAATACTAAAAATATACTTATATAAAAAAAATAGTAATAATAATAGAATAGAATATTGAAGTGAGCATAAAATGAAAAAAAAAAAAAAAAATTTTTTTTTTTTGGGATTTGCTGAAAAGCGCTTCTATTCTGAGAAAATTTTATAAGAAAAACATAAGAATAAAAAAACACGACATTTTTTTTTTGTTATATTGAAAATTAAAATTATTTTTAATGACTGAAAAAAAAAAAAAAATTAAATAAACAGTATGTACTCTTTTAATGAAACAATGAACAAATAATTTTGTTATTTTTTGTTTGTCTCATCAAAAATTTACTTCTCTTTAAGTTTCTAACATATTATGCTATACACACACTCACACATATTTATATTTTTATTCTAGTATATTATATTATATATGTATATAAGTTTTATCGTAAAATTTATTTATAATCAGGTATTAAAATACGTCATATATATATACAGGAAATTACAAATTAATTTCGGACAATATTTTCGTACAATTTTAAATTTATTATAATGTATTAACGCGGAAAAAAAAATAATTTTCCAGTTTATTTTTTTTTTATTTAATCTCTCTTTTGTAATTTAATTACTTTTCGCATTCTTCGTTTCGTCATACTAAATGATCTTCGTATTTTTTAATTCACAAATAAAATTAAATATATATAAATGCCTTATTTATAATTAGTCATTATTATAATTAGTATTTTTTATAAACTCTATATAAACGAGCAAATGCACATACTTTGAGAATATTTTTGAATAAATATTCAAAAGTAGTTTATTTTAAATTAAAAAAGCTACTTTTATTTAATAGAAATAAAAATTAATCTACTTTTAAATATACTATATAAAATTTAAATATTTAGAATTTGATATTTATTTTCATTGATACAAGTTAATATTATTCCTATAACTATCTGAGTAAAAATTCATAAACGATTACTTAACAGCTACTCATTTTCATAGCAAATTAAGCTAAGTTGTAGAAAATTAATATTTTAATTAAAAATATGATTACGGTAATCTCTTGCATGAAATCACCTTGAAATGTTCTATTTGATATATGTAAATCTTTAAAATTTTGAATACCATCTCTCTACTTTAAGTTAATTTTATAATTATTAATACAAAATTAAAGAATTATTTTTTCTTACATAAAAATTAGGTTTTCTTACATAAATCCCTCAATTTTAATAATTTCGTTAAAATTCGTAGATTTTCGAAGTTGTAATATGTTTTTTTACTAAAAGACTAGACAGACTAGGAGATTTTTATTTATAATTAAAATTAAAATAAAATTAATTTCAGTTATAATAAAATTTTTATGCACAAAAATCTAAAATTGATTGAAATTTTTAATTAATTTCATTTTCAGAAAAAATGATAAAATCCAAAATTTTTAATTCAACACCGTATATACCATAATGCAGGTATATAATATGTAAAAGTCGGGTATATATCAGTGAAAAAGTCAATGAATGAGTAATGAAATTTTTTTTTCTAATATTTTTTTTTTTGTCTAATTAGATTTTCCAACTTATAATAAAAGTTTGTTATCCAAAATGAAAAAAAAAATGTGAGCTTTTTTTTTTTGCTAGCAAAATTTTAATCATAATTTTCAATTCCCATACAGGGTCAGTTATAAAATTTTATATTATTTTTTTTTGATTTTTCAGTAATTTTTTAAAGGGAATATCAATATTAGGCAGAAAAAATTTTTAGTTTTGCAATCACTGCCAAAATTGTAAAATCGTTGTTTGCACATCTGAGCAACTAAGTTAATGCTTTAATTCAAATCTAGTGCTATAACTAAAAACGGCAATTATTATTTTGTACAAAATTACAAACAGTTTGATTGCTCTAATTACATACGTTCATACAAGTTGGATGTGTGCATGCTTAAATATAAACCTATGGAATATAAATAAAATCAATCAGACAGTTACAAAACTAAAAATTACATGTTTATCTGGGCCGTTATAGCTGGCTCCATTAAATAAAAAAAAATTAAGATGCAAGCATAGATAAAAATATTCGTAAAATATAAAGGAAACGGAGAAATTCCCTTTTATTTAACACTATTATATTTATTATACATTATATTGGGCTATTGGAAATAATTAATCAAGAGATGATTCCAATCGGTCGTGAAGAAAGAGTGAAAACTCGGATCAAATAGTAATTTTATGGAGGAAAGTTTAACTATGGCCAAATAGTATTAAACATACATATACATTTAAGTTGTGAGTTCAATTGATATAATAGGAATATTTGGACAAAAAAAAATCTTTTATACTTACGTAGTTATGAAAAGCCCTCAATATAGAAATCAAATTAAAATTTTCAGTTTAAAATGTAAATTTATGATATTTTCAATTCAAATTCAATTCTTTATTTAATGCTGCAATTCAATTGCAATTAAACTAATAAACTAAATTTTTTAAATAATATTAACTGCATTATATATCGCCAATATTTGCACGATCAAACTGTGGCAAAATTCAAGTCTTTTACAACCAATAACCTAAATTTAAATTTTTTTTTTCTTTTTTAAATCGAATGCATCATCCTGTATAATTATAATTTTAACTTTATGTTTTATAAATAATTATTCACATTATAAATAAAATTCTATTTATATATACATGTATAAATATATAAATATGTGACATATGTATATATAGTAAGTAAGTGAAGATCGCGAGGGCTTTTTCAAATTTGTAAAACAAACGTACATGGCTAGTATATATACTTGCATTATTATAGAGTATACATTGAAAGATATCTCGAGCAAAGCATTGTAAACACACACAAACACACGTATTTATAATAACAAATTACATACTACATATATGTACCTATAAATGGTATTTATAAAAATATATGTGTATAAAAATATTTAATGATTATTTATAAAAGAATTTAATTTATCACTGTGAGAATAATTCTCTCTTTTATTTATAGAAAGCTTACTAATAAAATTTCATACTCTTATCAAAATTATAAAAATGAGACATACAAAAAGTAGAAATGAACAATACACAACAACTCTTTATCACCTTTAATTTTATACTCTATATAGGTACAGCTGAGTGATATCGTAGTTTTAGACTTATACACCCATTATAAATTAATAAAAATCGCTCAGTTTTCTAATTTTTAAGTAAATTCAATGCTAAGCGTTATATTTTTACAACTTTTAATAATTATAGTTTTTTTTTTTATTGCAACGTTTTACAAATATAAAATTTTTAACTAAATATGGTAGAATTTATTTTATATTTTTATTATTTAAAATTTTTCATTCATGTTAGTTCATGTTACCATAAAAGGATTTGTAGTTTACAGTGAAATTATTTTAAGTTGAATTTTTATCTTGATTATATTAATTATTGTTGTAATATAAATGTTGAATAGAAAAAGAATATTTTTATTATTATGGAGAAAGAAACTTTATACTAACATACCCACAACAATTTAACAATAATGCATTTCTTCAAATGACAAATCTGAAATGACAATGATTTATTCAGATGAAAACAGAACAAGAATGATATTTCACGGCGAAATTTCAGAGTTCCTATATACAATACATATATTTAAATAGGATTGCTTAGAATTTAGCGAAATTACTCGGACAAATTTAAACAACAGCTAAAATAAACACATATAATCCTAATTTATTGTTAATCATCTGTTAGTATGTGTTTAGTGTTATTGAAGAGCTATGCAAAATATTGAACAGCTGATTTTGCTGTTTTTTTGTTGTTCTGTGTTAATAACGGAAATCGGTCAATGTTGTCGTTCACCCTGTTAATATTCTGTTTTTAAACTTAAAAATTTGACAAATGATTTTTGACAGATTCAGCGGTTTTTTTAATTTGATGTCGTGTCGAAGGTCGTTTAATTTATTGTCGTTTGCTAACCAATATTTTCTTGTTTATTTAAATTAGTAGTTTGGCAATTTCAATTTAATATAACAATTACATTCTTTTAAGAAGCCGCAAAGAAAAAAAAATAAAAGTCAATTTTTAGGTTCTTGTTAATACTAGCAAAGAGTTATTGAGGTTATGCAGTTTTAAAATTATTTGGAAGATTTTTTTTGAATATTTTTATTTTAAAACACTTTGTAGTTAAATATTTTTTTTTTTTATTCCTTAAATTTCATCACAAAAAAATCACAAATTAAATTTTGAATTTTCAATTTAAAACTAAACTGTTTGCATTAAAAAAAATATTATTATTAAAAATTAATTATTTTTAAATACAAGAAATCAAAATTAAATTTGGTTTTTAAACACACGCACAATATATAAATAAATAATCGATTTTGCGTAAATTTTAACCTTCAAATGTCAATAATATTTAAAAAAAAATTTAAATTTTTATTTTATATAAAAAATATTTTTTTTTTCTTTAATAGTTTAAAAACAAAATTTCTTGTGAAATTCATCCGATTAACACTGGGAAAATTTTAAATATTATTATTAACAATAATAATATTATGTAAATATTTTGTTAAATGGAAAAATTTAAAATTAAAATCGACCGTCAAACTCTCCAAAATAAAAAGAAAAGGAAAGAAAAGCAAAAATAACCAAAATAAAATATTTTTTTTTTTGTTTTTTTTTTTTGTGAAATTGAAAAATCTTTTCATATTTTTCTTGTAAATAACCTTAATATGAAAATTTCTTTTCATTTTCTTTTAGATTTTCTTTTTGTTATTCTAAATCAGCAACAGGTGCCAATTTTCAAAAAAAAAAAAAAAAAATTCAATGATGATGAAAGTAATGCCTTATATATCTATCAAGCCACCAAGCTCAGAAGATAAATCGAAAATAAATTCCAAATTTATATGGAGTTGAAAT